CCTGTTTTAACGTTCCTTATGTTCCAAGCGTTAAAATCTTTTAGCGAACGCGTTCACAAACTATTTTTAGTGAACGTTCCGTACGAATTCACTACAAGTACAACTAAGCTATAAGGGCAAAATCATCGATTAGAGGCTTTTATCTTAAAGAGTGAACCGGAACGTGAAACAGATCCTATTGCACGGTGGAGAACCAAACTAGCAACTTTTCTATTATGAATACGTTCAGTAGGTGAAATTTATTGTTATTAATTTTTACCTGTCAGATACGTAAAATAACAAAGTAATCTCTCCGTTAGGCGTTCGGGTAGGAGAAATAAGCAAGCTGATAAGAGACAATAAAATTACAAACGTATGCAATTAGTGTGTGGCGTGAGGTATATTTACTTTAATTTTTAGTGCCGACTTTAGCTTCAATGATATCACCGCGCACCGTTAACATACTCATAGTCTGGACAGCACCCTTCTAAATCCGAAAAGTGTCATACTTGTAGTAAATATTTGGTAGAATTCGGTCCAGGACAAGCTATTAAATTTTTTGCTGCGCTCCGGTCTATCACAGCAGTTTTCCTAATACCGTAGAGAAGTTTTTTTTATTAACAAATAAAACTCGATTACTAGACTCCTAGCCTGATACGAACTAAATTAAAAATCGCTCATAATGAACTTATCATCTTATCATAATGCATAAATAAAAATAAATGCTGTTAGCTGTGAGCTTTTGCTGGTCCCATGAATATAATTCAATGGATATGATATAATATAAATATTCATATACTTGCACATTTACGAGTCTTCTGAATCTATTATATTACATAATACACGACTTCTCATTTCATAATTCATATCAAACATTTATATACTCATGCAGCGAGAACAAAATATTTAGTGTCGAAACTAACACAAGCAGTCATATTGCCGTGTTGTAAAACGGCCGACCGTTTACTACAAGTTAAGTCAAGTCAAATCAAATCAAAACATAGTTTTAAAAAACGTATACGCTATCTGCAACATTTGACATCTATAAAAAAGCACAACGTGCACAGTCTGGTTTAGTCAACAATGTTACCTGGGAACCTCAGGCCATCATGTTCATTAATGAATAGAGATTCGGCGGAATGACAGGCTGAGCGCTGCCCTATAATCAACAATGCAGCTCTAAACGCTGCGGACTTGCTATTATAAAAATTGATGAGCGCTCGATTTGAAATCCCGACGCGCATAAAAACTGCCACTAACTGCTACTAACTGCCACTAACTGCCACTAACTGCCACTAACTGCTGCTGTCGCGCGCAAATGCGTGGGCGCGATTGTAGCAGTTAGTGGCAGTTAGTGGCAGTTTGTGGCAGTTTGTAGCAGTTAGTGGCAGTTTGTGGCAGTTAGTGGCAGTTTGTGGCAGTTAGTGGCAGTTTGTGGCAGTTAGTGGCAGTTTGTAGCAGTTAGTGACAGTTTCTTTGCACTTAGCTCCTCCTGTGACGAGTGGGCAACTCCCCCTGTATCGTAAAAACTTTATTATTTGCTACACGTTGTATACCTCTCGTGCACGCAAAGCGGGCTAATATTAAATACTAGTGGACTCTATGCAGCTCTCCCAGCACCCCTAATTTTACTGATCTGGAGGTCACATTTTATTGAGCCAGTACAGGCTAATATTAAATACTAGTGGACTCTATGCAGCTCTCCCAGCGCCCCTAATTTTACTGATCTGGAGGTCACATTTTATTGAGCCAGTACAGGCTAATTTTAAATACTAGTGGACTCTATGCAGCTCTCCCAGCACCCCTAATTTTACTGATGTGGAGGTCACATTTTATTGAGCCAGTACAGGCTAATATTAAATACTAGTGGACTCTATGCAGCTCTCCCAGCACCCCTAATTTTACTGATCTGGAGGTCACATTTTATTGAGCCAGTACAGGCTAATATTAAATACTAGTGGACTCTGTGCAGCTCTCCCAGCACCCCTAATTTTACTGATCTGGAGGTCACATTTTATTGAGCCAGTACAGGCTAATATTAAATACTAGTGGACTCTATGCAGCTCTCCCAGCGCCCCTAATTTTACTGATCTGGAGGTCACATTTTATTGAGCCAGTACAGGCTAATATTAAATACTAGTGGACTCTATGCAGCTCTCCCAGCACCCCTAATTTTACTGATCTGGAGGTCACATTTTATTGAGCCAGTACAGGCTAATATTAAATACTAGTGGACTCTATGCAGCTCTCCCAGCACCCCTAATTTTACTGATCTGGAGGTCACATTTTATTGAGCCAGTACAGGCTAATATTAAATACTAGTGGACTCTATGCAGCTCTCCCAGCGCCCCTAATTTTACTGATCTGGAGGTCACATTTTATTGAGCCAGTACAGGCTAATATTAAATACTAGTGGACTCTATGCAGCTCTCCCAGCGCCCCTAATTTTACTGATCTGGAGGTCACATTTTATTGAGCCAGTACAGGCTAATATTAAATACTAGTGGACTCTATGCAGCTCTCCCAGCACCCCTAATTTTACTGATCTGGAGGTCACATTTTATTGAGCCAGTACAGGCTAATATTAAATACTAGTGGACTCTATGCAGCTCTCCCAGCGCCCCTAATTTTACTGATCTGGAGGTCACATTTTATTGAGCCAGTACAGGCTAATATTAAATACTAGTGGACTCTATGCAGCTCTCCCAGCACCCCTAATTTTACTGATCTGGAGGTCACATTTTATTGAGCCAGTACAGGCTAATATTAAATACTAGTGGACTCTATGCAGCTCTCCCAGCGCCCCTAATTTTACTGATCTGGAGGTCACATTTTATTGAGCCAGTACAGGCTAATATTAAATACTAGTGGACTCTATGCAGCTCTCCCAGCGCCCCTAATTTTACTGATCTGGAGGTCACATTTTATTGAGCCAGTACAGGCTAATATTAAATACTAGTGGGCTCTATGCAGCTCTCCCAGCACCCCTAATTTTACTGATCTGGAGGTCACATTTTATTGAGCCTATGCAGTATATGCAATTCTGTTTTAGACAGTCAATTTATTTAAAAAAGGTCTCACCCTCTAAAAAACTTCCGTTGGAAATGTTTCTATTAATTTCACATTGGAAAACTTTTCATTGTGTTTGACCTCAACTTAGATGTATTTGTTTTTTTTACTATTTTTAGCAACTCCAATTCTCTTTTGTAGAGCTGATTCTTGTTATATAGAAGTACACTCGATACAGTTATCTTATCCCAGTGACATAAATTTAAAAAGGGACTAGGAATCCAGTCTGGAAAGAAAAAACGGCTACCATATATTTTTAAAACGACTACCATAAATTTTTCGGCCGCTCCGCGGCCGGATAACGATTTCATTTTACTTTGCTAGTTATATTACAGAGGTTTAGTTATTCATTAGTATAGTTATTAATTCATTAGTATAGTTATTCATAATTGCCAAAAGATTGTGAAAAAATTCCTTTCCGGGTCTCGAACTCGCGATCTGCTAATGTAGTACCGACGGTTTAACCGACTAGGCTACGATTCCATGTACGCTTTTGTAATATTTACATATAGATCTTCGCGCGTTCCTGCAACTACCATACTACCATACTACCAAACAGTCCATACTACCATACTGGTAGTAGGAAAATCTTGGATCCTGACAGGAATATCTTGGATTATTTGGTAACGCGCAAGTTAAGCGCAAGAACTAGGAATCTGCTGGGAATCTGGCATTTGCGCTTGATTCGAACATCTTCTCGGATAAATATAGAATTAAAGTACAGTGCGCGGCGTTACAGTGTGTAACAACCGAGAGCGACTATTTTAAAGTTGATTTAATAATTTTGTTGACAAAAATTAGTCGGCGTGGCTATGGAAATTAATATGGCTAGGAATTAGATTCTTAGATTCCTCACTTTATGTCACTGGGTATCTTATATAATATGAAAATATATTGAACAGCCAAACTACTGGTATATCTTTATATTGGGAAGAAAAATAATACAAGTTCTAGTATTCTTTTAAAAATAGCCGTTCATAACATTTACTTCATTTTAGGTATGTGTGTGTGAAACATCAGAACTGAATAATGGACCAGAGAATTCAGAGATCTTTGGTTACCTGTTTCCGGTTTCGTCGGTTCACACTTCACATTGCTGCGTTCCTGACCTAGCTTCGCCTGCATCAGTAGATCATATTATAATATGCATTATAGACTATAGTTATACAGCTTGAATTTGAAAGAGCTACATGGTTGTTGTTTCGAGTGCTTTTTCATCTGCTGTGATGAATTGGCAGACAGCATCAACGGTTACCAACATAATAGGTGCATTGCAAGTTGTGCAATGCTGAATGCATACGTTTCGTCAGTGACTTCCTTCTGCCTCATTGATGCGAAACTGATAATAAACATGCAAGAGAATACAGCTATAGTTACTCTGGACTGCCATGATAGAAACATTGAAACAAATATTGACTGGCTTTAGGTATGTGAGACGTAAGTATTGAAACCTCAAATTGTTATGATCAGGTTCAACATACTTGCTATGATCCTTTATATAATATCAATATATTATATAAAATATAATATATTACATTGTATATTAATCTTGATATAAAATCTTCGCTTTTTGATGATTGTAAGATGTTCTGTTTCGTTGTAACCTTGTCCCCTACATAATTATACTAGAAAACCCGTGGTCACAGGGAGGAAGCTAATACTATTCTTTGGTAGTCAGTTTCTATCGCATCAAAAAAATATTCATCACAACCGAAGATACAGCCAATTAAAATATAGCTCGCACTTAACACCACGTAATAACAAAAACCGATCAAAATGCCTCTCTCAAATCCTTGCACGTGCACGTGGGAACAACAATCTTCGTTACCATGGTTACTATGCAACTTCCTATTTCTCATCTAATTTGCACGTGGGCGGTCGTACAGACAGAAACAATTCTCTGAACTATAGTAGAGATAATAGTACATCATTACTTCCATTTTTCAGGTTTTTATTGGTGTTGCAAACGATGTAACGATCACTAAATTCTGTGCCTATGTGAGATTTGTTGGTTCATCGAATAACATCAAAGTTACAGTGTGAGTAATTCAACTATCATGCACTTCATATTTTATGTCCCCCTACTCATTGTTCACTCTCTGTCTTCATCAGTGTTACTCTACATTTCTCTCAGCAGTTATTCTTCCACTCAGTATTAACTCTAGCTCTCTGTCTTCGTCAGTGTTACTCTATATTTCCCTCAGTAGTTATTCTCCCAATCAGTGTTAACTCTCTATCTTCATCAGTGTTACTCTAGACATTTCCTTCAGAAGTTAATCTCCCACTCGACTCAGTATTAACTCTCTGTCTTCGTGAGTGTTACTCTATTATATTTCCCTCAGTAGCTACTCTCCCACTCAGTATTAACTCTCTGTCTTCATCAGTGTTATTCTACATTTCCCTCAGTATAGTTACTCTCACACTGAGAGTTAACTCTCTGTCTCTATCAGTGTAACTCTACATTTCTCTCAGTAGTTACTCTTTCACTCAGTTTTAACTCTCTGTCGTCATCAGTGTTACTCTACATTTCTCTCATCTTAGTTATTCTCCCACTCAGTATTAACTCTCTGTCTTCGTCAGTGTTACTCTATATTTCCCTCAGTAGTTACTATCACACTGAGAGTTAACTCTCTGTCTTTGTCAGTGTTACTCTATATTTTGCTCAGTAGTTATTCTCCCACTCAGTATTAACTCTCTGTCTTCGTCAGTATTACTCTACATTTCCCTCAGTAGTTATTCTCCCACTCAGTATTAACTCTCTGTCTTCGTGAGTGTTACTCTATTATATTTCCCTCAGTAGCTACTCTCCCACTCAGTATTAACTCTCTGTCTTCATCAGTGTTATTCTACATTTCCCTCAGTACTCAGTAGTTACTCTCACACTGAGAGTTAACTCTCTGTTAACTTCTCTGTCTTTCCCTCAGTAGTTATTCTCCCAATCAGTGTTAACTCTCTATCTTCATCAGTGTTACTCTAGACATTTCCTTCAGAAGTTATTCCCTCACTCAGTATTAACTCTCTGTCTTTGTCAGTGATACTCTACATTTCCCTCATGCTCAGTAGTTATTCTCCCACTAAGTATTAACTCTCTGTCTTCGTCAGTGTTATTCTATATTTCCCTCAGTAGCTACTCTCCCACTCAGTATTAACTCTCTGTCTTCATCAGTGTTATTCTACATTTCCCTCAGTACTCAGTAGTTACTCTCACACTGAGAGTTAACTCTCTGTTAACTTCTCTGTCTTTCCCTCAGTAGTTATTCTCCCAATCAGTGTTAACTCTCTATCTTCATCAGTGTTACTCTAGACATTTCCTTCAGAAGTTATTCTCCCACTCAGTATTAACTCTCTATCTTCGTCAGTGATACTAGATACATTTCCCTCATGCTCAGTAGTTACTCTCCCATTTAGTGGTAACTCTCTGTCTTCATCAGTGTTACTCTACGTTTCCCTCATTAATTACTCTTCCACTCAAACTTCTCTGGGATTGGTGGAAAAAGAAGAGAAAACTTCGACTGAAATACGATAAGGGTGAGTTAAAAGTTTCAAACCCGCTTAAAACGACGACACTAACTTGGTGCTATATCACTACATAATATGTGCAAGGCAAATTTCTGGAGAATCGAGTATTTTTTTGTAATAATTTGAATTATAAAGCGACAAAATATTATGTGTTCTCTCTTGGTTTGATTTTTTGAACAACAGCCAGTAATTTTAGAAGGTAAACGGTCAAGCAAAGTGTGCAAGGTCGTTGATGGAGTATTCTATGTGAAATCCTCTCACCGGTCTGAGCCCCACCAACTGAACATCAGAGGACCAACTTGCACCTGCAGACATATTTTTCAAGCTATTGATGATGGTTTAATGAAATGCAATGGGAGGACCTACCTGAAGATTACAGAAACATACTGTTCTTCGTAAAAGATAAAGGTCTGTTAAATTGATCTGTATGCATGTTTACATTCCAATTTGAATAGACAAGACAAAATTGAGGTTCATAACTCGTTCATGTGCTATGGCAGTGCGTCCGCGTCGATGTAGGAGGTGTGGAGCCTGCTAGTAGAGAAAATATGAAGTTTCCAACAGTAAATATTATTATCAATATCAAAGGCAGGGCATTACTTCGACCTCCGAGGCGAGGTATCCGTGTGGACCCTGGTTGTTATCAGGGTTGGAAAGACAAAGATAATTTTGTCTGTTAAAGTGGGTTATCACTCTCTGCCATCAGACTCATAAATCACATCTCCGCAGGGTTTGCCAGGTTTTCCCTATTGCTTTGCTTCCAATTCTTATAATAGTCAAAATATAAAATCCGATATTATTTTTGCAGGAAGTGATATTGGGATATGGCCAGCTGATGCAGATGTAAACAAATGCTGCGATTATCCAGCATCAGAAGACGAGGATGAAGAAGTAGAAGATGATGAGGTTGGAGGAAATGGGGATAAAAGAAAGAAGAAACGGGACATAGACTATAAAGGAGATTGGCGGGAGCTTTCAAACAGAATAACTTCCTTCGTTAATGATCCTGAGTTTGACGTGATGGACGATGATGTCCGTGCATTATTATATAAGAAACTGTCAGATACCGTCAATGATGTGGCATCCTATATTTACAAAAGAAACTAAATTAGATAACATAGATAAGATAATGTTTGATAATATATTACTTTAAAAGCCGTGCAATCATTTTAGATATTAGATATTAAACTAACCATATTATGATATTCTCCGTCTAACTATTCGATCTGTCTCCATCTCACTATTCAATCGGTCTCAACGTTCATTCTCTGTTTAACTATTCAATCTCTGTCTCAGTGTTCATTTTCTTGTTTAACTATTCAATCTTTGTCTCAGCGTTCATTCTCTGTCTCGACATTTATTCTCCGTCTGACTATTTAATCTGTCTCAATGTTCATTCTCTGTCTCGACGTTCATTCTCCGTCTCACTATTCAATCTGTCTCAATGTTCATTCTCTGTCTCGACGTTCATTCTCCGTCTCACTATTCAATCTGTCTCAATGTTCATTCTCTGTCTCGACGTTCATTCTCCGTCTCACTATTCAATCTGTCTCAATGTTCATTCTCTGTCTCGACGTTAATTCTCCGTCTCATTATTCAATCTCTGCATCAGTGTTCATTCTCTATTTTAGAGTCAATTCCCTGTCTTACCTATCAATCTTTCTCGGTGTTCATTCCCTGTCTGACTGTTCAATTTCTGTCTCACTGTCCATTCTCTGTCTCGCTGTTCAATCTTCGTGTTTCTTTCAAAGTGTTACAGTGACAAGGAGACCGAATGATATTGTTGTAAAATAAAAAGCTTGTCCGCTTTAGTTATAGTGATATTAAAACATATACAACACCATGTATTATGAAATTTTAGATTTTGTTACAAAATATGGACAGTGAATTTGATGTTGTTGTCTAATAATACAAGACGTGAGGCGCGGCGACATTATAAATTTTAGAATTGCCCGCGCATTTTAGTACTTTGCCGCGGCTCCACTAGTATTTAACGTTTACCCGCAAAGCGTGCACGCCGTCCGGCCGGCGCGCGCTCAAAAGGGGTTACAGCGTGTGTCAATTTATTATAATGAAACGATTATTCTATCCAGAGCCCTTGCGCTTGCAGTAGCGCTCGCCCGCCTCTTGACTTGTGAAACAAGCGCGCCCGAAGTGGCGCGAAAGCACATGGTTAGGTGAAGTGAAACGACATTGGGGGTCTCGACATGATACAAGGAAAACAGTCATAATTTTGAATTTAATCGCGCGCGACCCATTGGCATCACGATTGTCAATGAAAATTCGGCTGTGAATTTCATTTAACGGGTGATACTCGTAAAATATTTGTTCCATATATTGGACCGTCGACGAGTTCAACTCGGTGCGCGTCCTGGTAGGTTGTAAACCTACAAAATTTCATTGATACATGTTTCGTATCCCAAATATCAGAGATATTATGGATACACCAGGAAGGCACATTTCTGCGCGGCGTAAGTAAATTTACAAGTTCGCGCGAAAAATTGTGTTGTTTTCCTGGTGCTTTGTTCTCGCGCCGGGAGTGAATCATTAATTATTTTACTACTTAACTAGCATAATCTACAATCTATATCTATAATAGGAAGTAAGAGTTACCACGTTACTCTTTTATTTCTCCGTTAAGCTTACCTGAGGACCCCAGGCTATTATGTTCATTAACATAAAGATTTGGCGGAATGACAGGCTGAGCGTGGCCCAGTAACGTTAAGCCTACAATTCTTTTTTTAAATATAAAATTATTCAAACAATATACACATAATATAGCAATGACCCTATATAAAATCAACCCTTTAAGAATTCAAAAAATTCCCTTAACAATCAAAAATTACCCTTGGCCTTGTGGCTCCAAGTTTAGACCTAGACTGTTTATATCAATAATGTTTTTTCTCGCACCTCTGTCTAAAATTCTAATAACTAACAATTGAGTATCATGAGGTCAATTAAATGTCCATGAGGTCAATTAAATGTCATGAGGTCAATTAAATGTTCAGAAAATGCTGAAGGCAAATGGTTATGTGGGAAGTGTACAAAAGTCCTTAAGGGGAAGGATAAGGCTATTGGTTGTGAAGGTATGTGTTCCAGATGGTTCCATGATCGATGTGTGCTAAGTGAAGAGGAACAACTTAAGTTTTTTGAGGACCAGTCAACAGAACCATGGCATTGCAAAGAATGTGTACACAGACTTCAAGAATCTATAAGATGGGGCAAGATGATAGGGGAAGAGGAGATAGGAGCAAAACTAGATGAAGTCTATACTGAGATGATAACTTGGCGCAGCAATTTATTTGAAGTTCCAAGGGGCAGAGCCGGGAAAGACTACATTGAGGAGGTGTCTAGGATTCTCAGTGAGTTTACATATAACACAAAATGGAAACCTTTTTCCTTAAAGCTCGTCCATGTGTTCATGCCCTTGATGCTCCAGCGCCCAACACCAAAATCGAAACCCAAGCAGAACACCAAATATCTAAAGGAAAGGCTTAAGTTGTGGGCAGACGGTGAAATTGATGCAATTATGAAACAATGCCGTCAAATTCAGGCTCATCTGGACAAAAAGCAAAAAGACAGGGTCATGAATCATAAGAAAGATTTCTGCAGATTGATGCTACAAGGGCGAGTCCAGAAAGCCCTTAAGTACATCAATGATGAAGAAAAACTTAGCAGTGGTGTACATAATCTTACACAAGCAGTTATTGATGAGCTTAAGAAAAAGCACCCAGAAGCTAGCCCTGAACATCCGGAGGTCATGCTAGAGGTCAAATCAGAGCTTCCTGATCAAGTAATTTATGAAAGTATTGATGCTGACCTGATTCAGAAAGTGGCAAAAGATCTAGATGGGGCAGGAGGTCCAACAAAGATAAGTGCCCATATTTTCAAGCATATGATATGCTCAAGATTCCACAGCACTGAATCAGATAAGCTTGCCCAGACAGTAGCTGATCTGACTAAAAAGCTCTGCACAGAACAAACTCCATCTAGCTACCTAAAAGAGTTTGTTGCAGGAAGACTTATACCCCTGGACAAAGAGCCTGGCTCTATAGTTCCTGCCATAAGACCAATAGGAATTGGAGAAGTCCTTCGAAGAATCGTTGCCAAAGCAGTCACAAGAATACTCAAGTTGGACATCCAAATGGCTGCTGGGAGTCTTCAAACATGTTCAGGGACAGAGTCGGGCATAGAAGCTGCTATTCACGGAATGAAAGCAGTTTTCGAGGACGAAGACTGCGAAGCAGTGTTGTTGATCGATGCCAAGAATGCTTTTAACTCCCTCAATAGAAAGGTAGCACTAAACAACATAAGAGAACTGTGTCCATCTCTTCATTGCTTCCTCCAAAACTGTTATCAAGATTCAACAGATCTATACATAGTGGATGAAAAGGGACAGCTTGAAATCATCAAGGGAGAAGATGGTTCAACCCAAGGCGACCCAGCAGCCATGGCTAAATATGCAATATCAATAAGACCATTAATGGATGACATCACCAGAAACCAAGACCATGTGTTACCCTTAGCAAAACAAGCCTGGTTTGCAGATGATGGAACAGCAGGGGGAAAACTTCTTCAGCTTAAGAAGCTCTGGGACACCTTACAACAGTTAGGACCAAAGTATGGTTATTTCCCAAATGCTACAAAGACTGTGTTAATAGTCAAGGACCTAGTAAATCTTCCTGCAGCTAATGCTATCTTCAAAGATTCAGGGGTTCACATAAAGAGGGACGGAGAGAGACACCTTGGGGCTGTTATTGGATCAGAAAACTACAGAGACCTTTATGTGAAAAATAAAGTTTCATCCTGGATTGAAGATGTTAAACAACTGGCTGAGATTGCCAAAGAAGAACCTCAAATAGCATATTCTGCTTACACTAAAGGGTTGAGTCATAGATGGTCTTTTGTTCAAAGAACAATTGGAGGGATATCAGAGCTGTTTAGACCCCCTGAAGAAGCAATTAGAACAATACTTCTTCCTTCTATATTCAATCGCCCAGTAACAGACCTAGAGAGAGACATGGTCGCACTACCTCTTAGACACGGTGGCTTAGGAATTCAAAATCCTGTTCATACAGCAGACAGAGAATATGAGGCGTCACAGAAAATCACAAAACCTCTGGCTAATCTTATCTATAACCAAGATCATGATCTAGGCAAACTTGACCTCACAGCTATTGCAAACACCAAAGCAGCACTGAAAGCTGAAAAAGAAAAAGATTTTGCAGCAGAGAGACTCAGAATAGAAAACGCAATAAGTTCTCCAGCAAAGAAAAGATCGTTTTCACTGGCTACACAAAAAGGCAGTTCATCCTGGCTGTCAGCCCTCCCAATGCAGTCTTATGGTTACTGCTTGAACAAGAAGGACTTTAGAGATGGTATATGTTTACGATATGGCTGGCCTATACAAGATATTGCTAAACACTGTGCGTGTGGAGAAAGAAACTCCGTCGATCATGCCCTTTCTTGTAAAAAAGGAGGGTACGTTTCCTTTAGACATACAGTGCTTGTAGAAACCGAAGCAGATCTACTACGTGAGGCTAAATGTAGAAACGTTTATACTGAGCCAGCTCTCTTACCAACGTCTCCAGAACTTCATCCCAAAGGAACTACTACTGACAGCGGAGCAAGGCTAGATATTGTTGCAACTGCATTATATGGCAGGAATGCCAGGACTTTCATGGATGTAAGAATAACACACCCAAATGCACCATCAAACCTTAATGTTCCCCTGGACAAGTTGTACAAGAGAAATGAGGAAGAAAAAAAAACTAAGTATAACTCACGAGTCATCAACACTGAAAGAGCGTCTTTCATTCCTCTAGTATTTTCTACAGCAGGGACTACAGCACCAGAATGTGACAGATTTCACAAACGTCTTGCTAGATTGATATCAAAGAAGAGAAAGGAGAGCTACACAGATGTTATCAACTACATCAGGACCAAGATATGCTTTGCTATGCTTAAAAGCATAGTGGTATCAGTTCATGGTGTGAGGAGTCAAGAAGAAAAGAAAGTAACAAAAACGGTTGCTGACACAGCATTTGGACTTATACCTAGTATGACCTCTTATGAGTGCCGTTAAATTATTAACAGGAAAATTGTTTTAATTTTGGTTGAGCGAATGTTTTATATCAGATGTTGATTTCTTAAAGATAGGTGTATATTTTTGCTATTATTTCTATGAAGGGGAGGTACGGATAAAGTACCAAACCTTATTGTGTATATTTGGTTGCAACTCCGGTAAATGATGAAACATGTCTCTTATGAGAGTGATACCGTGAGTTGCTTCCTTTTTTAAAAAAAAAAAAAAAAAAATTAAATGTCCATAAATATGGATTATAGAAATTATATAAACACATAATTGAACAGCATGAGACAAGTGGAAAACAAACAAACGAATAGATTTCAAGCTCATAAAGGATCGTTGCTTGATATTGGATATTTCAAAACTGTAGTCCGACAGTCAAAGTTCTCTTGTCTAACTTTAGTGCGTGTCGAACTTGAGTCCAGATAGAGCACTTTAGCTCGACAGAGTCGAACCTCAGGGTTTGTCGAACTACAGTAGGTGACGAACTAGAGTTCTCGTCGAACTTGAGTACGTGTACCGAATTTACCATGGTAAAAACATCTTCACACCGTAAAATGTGCAAAAGCTTCAAACGGTTCCTCCAACATTGTTTACAGTTGTATCACGTTGCGACCCCCAGGGTCGCTACAGTTGCAGTGGCGTAACGAAGGGCCCTGCTGACCCCGCTGTGCAGGGGGGCGCCGTCTTAGGGGGGCGCCAAATCGTCGTTTGAATGTGGGACAATTTCGAAAACTTAACTAAAGTACTAGCAAAACTGCGCGTTTTGCTCTAGATACACACTTTTTTAGAGATTTTACCGGCGTATCCTCTTAAATCGCCTAATTTGTTCAATTTTAGGGAGGGGCACCAAAAGGAGAGGGGGCGCCAACAGGGGGGCGCCTTTTCGGCAGGGGGGCGCCAACAGGCAACGTTACGCCACTGTACAGTTGTATCACGTTGCGACCCCCAGGGTCGCTGCAGGGGGAGCCGCGCACTTCGTGCGCGGCGGGTCATACAACGTATGACAAGTTTAAAGGCAATATCCTTTATTTCATTCAATTCTTCTGAAGTGTTCATGACCATATTACGGTCTTTAGGATCGATATTAATAATTTAACGAGGCTTTTGCCGGGACAACCTATATGCCCTTTTAGTTTTGACAGGGCAGCTCAGAAGTAGATGGTTCTAAAACAAAACATAAATAAATTTAATCCCTTTAAAATAAATATGCTACCATCTAGCTTACTCATAGAACACAACTCGGAATACTTAGTGGCCTTAACATTCGAGCGAAAGTGAAAAAAAATCTACTCTAGAAGCTAATTGAAATCAAGTATGCAGTTTAGTGTCTACAACTTTTCTAGAAACCAGGTCCTTTGTAGGATACAAGGATACAAGGATACAAGGATACAAAAGTGATAATTATTTTATTGAATTCACAATAGTTATAATTCTGAAATAATTTAAGGTTACACAATTCTAGTTATTTACAGATGTGTAGGGATAAAATAGAAATGTTTAATATAATACTATTTTTGAGGTCCTATAGCATTATGCATTGGCCAGTATTTGAGTGGAAATCTGGGCTCTTATAGTAGGCTGTAAAATTTTCGTTCACAGAGAGAATTGAATGGATTGCTCTTGCTGTGGCAGTAAATTTTGTAGGGTCTAGTGTTTTATCGGATAGCAAACCGGCTAGGTCAGTAATATTTTTGGGATGGAAGTTAAATTTTTCTCTAACTGAGGAGTAGAGTAAACAGTCAGTTAGAACATGAATTTCGTCCTCAATAGGCTTAAGCCCCTTGCTGAAAAAGCAAAAAGTGCACCATCGATGTTCTCTTGGAACTAGGGGGGTTTCGTAACGGCCCCTCTCAATGTAAAGATTGTGGCAGCTAATACGAAACCTTGTTAAGCTTTTCCGAGCATCGGGGATCTTAACCACTCCTAAGTATGTTTCTGGTTCAAAATCATGTTTAATTTGATTGTAGAATTCTAATTTAGGTGAGGATGCCTTGGCAGATTTCCAGGTATCCACAAATTCTTCCCTCATGTTGTGACTGATTTGGGTAGAGAGCTTGGATTTTGAAGAGGATGAGTGGGGGAAGTTATATTTGGTGAGAAGATTAGAGATGTTGGTGTACCAAGGAAGGCCCAGCATAATCTGCTCGTGAAATGAAGCGGAGAGAAGTTCATTTTCAGTGCTTTCAAGGCGAGTATATTACAATGTATGGTCATTCTGGATCAGAATTGATAATGTACGCAAATTTTATCAGTAGTTCCAACCCAAGGGGGGAAATTTCTAAATTACCCTCAGGTGCAAAAATATGATTTTTGTAATTTGCTGGTGCTGGTGATAGCTGGACAGAGTAGGAATAAGTCTGAGGTTGCTGGATAGGGCTTACATTTACAAGTGCTAGTGGTAGCAATACAACAATTATTGAGCGTTGGTGGAAGCTAGATAGAGCAGGAAGTAGCATTCAGAGATTGCTAGAAAGAGCTAGAATGGAGGTAGCAGAATTGAAGAAAACTAGAAGTAGATTCTACTACATGAGGTTGGATTGGAGGTGATTAGCCATAATAGCCAAACAGTACTGGAGAGAGCCCAACTTGTGGTAAGCTAGACCAGGATCCCGGCTTAATCCTGATCCCTAATCCCGTTCCCGGTCTTAATCCCGGTCCTGGCACTTTTTCCCAGTCCCGGATAAAAAAGCGGGTCCCGGTCGAGCCTTGGCTTTAACGAGATGAAAGCAACCAGAGAGATGGTTAGATGTATAAATTTGGGGATTGAAGTGGTTTGAAATAACCAGAGAGATGTTAAACAAATTGAACAACAGGTTGAACAAAAAGCATGTGTAAAGAGTTACCGCTATCGAGTGATAAACGAGGAGAAAGCATCGATATTATATGATCTTAGGCAGACGCCAGCTAGCTCATCGCGGTATCACATGACTTTAAACCACGATATCATTGGTTATCTATATATCCAATGCGAACCTTATTAACGATTTTATATTTGAACTGTCCACTATTAATGGTGAATGGACTGCAGACCCGCGGTTTGCGTTTTAACTTTTTTGCAGCACTTTGCTTTGCCTTAAGTACTATTTCAAAAATAAAGCGGCTCGTGCTATTTATATTAGAGTGGTTCATTTTACCAAAAGTTGTTCAAATAATTAGAAATCATATCTTATTAGTTGCTCTATAGGGTCAGGAACGACCAAAAAAAAATTTTTGACTCTAGTGTTCCGGATATGGTCCGCACATGCCACGCCCATTTTTATAGCGTTTCTTATACAGGTAAAATTGTCTAAATCGTCAATTTAGTCATGAAGGAGTATGGAAGGAGTTCTGAATGTGTGCTCCTCTAATATAAACAGTAGAAAATGGTTAACTTTAGTCGAGGTCTCAGGTCTCTACAATGTCGGGAAGTTCCTGCAGGAGTTTGCGCATTGCGCTGAAGCGCAGGATTCACTGCGCCAAAAGTGAAGGTCGTAGAGACATGAGACCTTGACTAAAGTTAACCTTTTCATACCATTACTATAGGAGTGTGACACTTTCAGAGTCCTGAACACATTCCTATATCACTTAATCGTCAATTATATGAATTTTACCTGTTAAAATATATCATCTTTAACTGATATCAATTTAGTTTAACACTGTTAGCTTTTAAATAGGAAATAATTTACTTCACACCAAACTAACACACAATATGAGAGTATACAAAAAGGAGGCTTTCTTGGAGACTACCTGGACCGAGCATCAAAATAGTACACATTGCTGCAGTCATTGTCGAGAGTCAAAAAAGAGAGGGTCTAGTTGTGGGATTATACTGGATAACAGATATGATGAGTGGTAACATCCTACAAAAGAATGTTAGCTTACTAAGTAATTTTCCTCTTAGCGAATCCTACGAGAACTTAACTAAGTTCCTCCTAGTCCTAAGCATTATCTTGTTTCAGAGGGACTGAGTCATTTTAAAAGATGAAGCCAAAGAAGAGATTCATCTGTTCCGTTCATAGCCGATAGTTGTGAAGAAGGCATTTGCACTCTGTAATTTGTAAGCAAATTTTTTTCGATATTTATAGTTATTTACTGACCTTGACGAATCAGCAAGATATCACTAGACCTCGTTAGTCGTTAGTCATGTTATGCTGATCCAGTTAGTTACGAGCTATCAAGTAATCATTCGATCTCATTAATACTGATCCTATCAATGACGAGCTATGAAGTAATCAGTGGATCTCGTCAATACTCATCCTGTCAGTGACGAGTTATGAAGAAATCAACGAAGACCTCATTAATTTCCTTGTTCCACGAAGATATTCAATTCCTCTGGTAACCAAACCCCTTCTGGCCTACTTCTGAACATATGAAGATTCGAAAACCAAGTCTACCTAAATCTGAACTTTCTGACTGCGTTGGAGAATGGAGAACAATCGAGAAATGATAACCAGTCCCAGGATATAATCAAAGTTCAATTTGGAATCTTTTTGTATTTCTTTATGCTGTGTGTAAGTTTGGTGTGAAGCATTATTTTCTTTTCTAAAGCTAACAGTGTTAAACTAAATTTATATCAGTTAAAGATGATATATTTTAACAGGTAAAATTAATATAATTGACGATTAAGTGATATAAGAATGTGTTCAGGACTCTGAAAGTGTCACACTCCTATAGTAATGGTATGAAAAGGTTAACTTTAGTCAAGGTCTCATGTCTCTACGACCTTCACTTTTGGCGCAGTGAATCCTGCGCTTCAGCGCAATGCGCAAACTCCTGCAGGAACTTCCCGACATTGTAGAGACCTGAGACCTCGACTAAAGTTAACCATTTTTTACTGTTTATATCAGAGGAGCACACATTCAGAACTCCTTCCATACTCCTTCATGACTAAATTGACGATTTAGACAATTTTACCTGTATAAGAAACGCTATAAAAATGGGCGTGGCATGTGCGGACCATATCCGGAACACTAGAGTCGAAAAAAATTTTTTGGTCGTTCCTGACCCTATAGAGCAACTAATAAGATATGATTTCTAATTATTTGAACAACTTTTGGTAAAATGAACCACTCTAATTTATATCTTTTAAAGAAATGAAAAAATAGATTAACAATTTTTGCAACTATTTAAAACCCATTTAATTCAGTACCTCTGGACAGTTCTAAACGACCATATAACATCTTCTGACAATTTAACAATTTACTTAAACTTTCACAATGATTAAAAGAACCAATTTTAAAGTTGCCATAGTAAAGCCTTTAGGTCCAAAAATATACCTATTATGCTCACTTAAAAACAACTCTAAATCAGTAGGCTGTCACTCTATTAATGCACCACACCGCTTCCTCCACTGCACTAAAAGTTATACAATAAATTCTACAATCCTAATTTTGTATCGTGATGGAGACCGGTGTCCATACAAAACATTTACTAGGTTGCCGTTTGGTGTGAGCAATAGCGAATAGCACGCACACTCCTTTGCCCCGTCAACATATATCTAATCTATTTAAAGAGTGACAACCATACTACACATTGAATTAGGATTCCTTTAAATATCAAATTGATTTATTGTAAACTTGTTTACTCTGTAATAAATGGCATAAAATTGAATTTTTGTTTAACTGAATTTTTGTTTCCCTGACTGACAATGATCAGACACACAAACTTTGATAACACAAACGAAATAATACTTTACTATCAAGACGAATTATGAATAACCTCAAGCAGTTTCACAATGCTAAACACCTCAGTACAATTTCGATCTTGATTAAAGATCTGTGCGCATTCCTGGCATTATTCTCACGAATTATATTTTTTTGTACTTTACAACCCCGTACAAATGCTGCAAATCCTTAATCAGTAATTATAATTTCTTGTTATAGATCACGATATTATATATTTTGATAATTGAAAGTTTTCGTTATCTTTAAAGTAACTAAATTATCTAAATATAAATTGATAAAAAGTGTAATTAATAAAATATGTTCAAGTGTGTTTATAATTATGGTACATTGTTATTTATTATATTTATATTTTAGGCTGTAACCTTATTAGTTCAATGGAATAAACCTAGCATACCTTGGTTGCAGTATCGCTTCACTTATAGGTGCATATAATAGGGCCCGATGTAATTGTTATAAAGCAATGAAAGGCATTAGTTTGGTCAAATCAAACAGAACATATGCTATCAGACTTTCAACTGACTAAGGCAGGGTTAAAACAGTTTCGACGCTAGCAACGATCCCCTTTTACATAGTTCCACTAAAATGATTATTTAAGATTAAACATGTATAGTGATAGGTAAATAAAGTCAAAAATGTAATAAAACGGTAGGGATAAAGTATACTGAAACTAAGTAAACGTAGTCGACACGTCATAAAACGAAATGTACCCAAATTAAACTGAAAGATCTTATGACCAGTTTACTGGTCAACTGGTGTTTCGGTGTGCCTAATTTTGTTTACACTCGGTCACTTGTCAAGGTATGTAAGGTCATTCGGCGAAATTCTCTTTGAAATAAAATGATGTATTTGTGTAACATTTTGAAAGTTTATTGATTAAAAAAATCAATTAAAAAATTATACATAATATAGCTGGTTGTGAATTCGAAAATTCTATTAACTAACTATACGACGCGATGGTCTCAATGACATCAGACAAGAAAATGTAAAGTCTCCCTCTGGCATTAAACGTGTATTCAATAAATATGCTGAAAAGATTGCTGAAATACAAGCTGTTAATAAAAAACTCATGTGTATTATATATGTCCGCTGCTGCCAACTAAATGTATTGATTTGAATAGGAGAGTTAATTTCTTTAATTATCTTCTTCAAACCCAACTTCTCCTTCAATAGTAAACAGCACACACACTCCTTTGCCCCATCAACCTATATCTAATCTATTCAAAGATTGACAACCATACTACACATTGAATTAGGATTCCTTTAAATTAAATATCAAATTGATTTATTGTAGACTTGTTTATTCTGTAATTTATTCACTAATAAATGGCATAAAATTGAAATTTTTGTTTAACTGAATTTTTTTGTTTAACTGAAACTATGTCTTCATCATATTATTTTAATTAGATCTTAATTGTGTTTAGCTGTGTCAATTTTAATTCTATCCTATAACTTTCCTCTACTTTATGTGCAGGTGTTGCAACAAAATGGCTGAATACTCCTGTACACCACTCCAAGAAAAACCTTCCCTCAAATATGCCGACAGATTGCATGACATAAAACGAGCAATTTGTACATTAGATGAGTCTCTTACTCCTTCTAAAAGGATTGGGAACAAATCAATAGGCCTGTCCCCAATGTTTGGTACACCATTAAAAAACAGACAAAGTTTTGACTCCATAGCTCTTCTTGATCATCAAAACGTTTTAACACCTTCACGATCAGCTTTGGGAACTACTGGTATGGAGCTTAGTCAGATATCAATTTCGGAATCTGTGCTCCAACATCCAGAAGTTGCTGCTACTGTTAATAAAATAACCTCTGCTAATTCATTAATAAAAGGATTCTCCAAAGTGTAAGTATTAGGTAGCTTTCACGAGTTACTTCATCTTAATTTCGGACATATTTGACCTCATCCATCACTTTTTGTCCCTTTCCAACCCCACTCAAACATAACCACCTTCCCTAACATTTCAGATACAAAGAAATTTCGACAGAAGATGTTTTGTCAGTTGTAAGCAGTTACACAGTCCAGTGCGAGGAGTTATACCAGCACTCTAAAAACATGTTACCCTCTGTAAAGCACTCCAAAAGATTATCTCAACAGCTCAAAGATGCTTGTTCAGAGATAGCTAACGAAAGGTTTGTTCTAATATACTGTATATGAGAGGCTGCAAGAAACCATCTAAAATTTCTTTGCTCAACTGTAACGTTAAAAATGTCCAAACTGAGTAGGAGGAACATCCTTTGGGTGGGTCCGCACTCCGCAGTGCACACCCACCCGCACCTACACGGTGGAGACATGCCTGCTGAGGCAGTTCAACCCAAAAAATAGTGTTGGATTTACGTTCCATTCGTTCCGTGGAACAATATTGGAATGAAGTCAATTTTTGGACCAGATCTTCTTAAAACTTTGCAGATAGTAAGATGGATAGGGGGGAATGCAACGTCAATTAATGTCAGTATTCCATAAAAACCCCAAACTGACATTGACATTAATTGACATTAATTGACATTAATTGACATTAATTGACATTAATTGACATTAATTGACATTAATATGTCTTGAAATTTGAGATTATCATTATTCGATAAATATTCAAGATATTCACGTCTATGTAAGTTAGACCGGTTCAAAATAACAAAATGTCCTTAAATAATTATGAGTATGTTCTTATCTGTTGATCCTTAGGTTCAAAGACCACCAAAAAAAATTTCAGCTTCCAACTCTTCCATCTTCGGTCCCCACCGGCCACGCCCATATTTTATTGGTTTCTTATACAGGTAAAATATCTAAAATCGGCTTTTTTTAGTATGAAGGAGTAATGTTAGCTGTTTAAGATTCGTTATTCAAATATAAATGTCATGAAGGCATTTCGTTTAATGTGGGTTTTAAGTTCTGATGATGTTGAGAACCACGCCCTTGGATGACCACGCCCATTTAAGAAAATTAAATTTCGGAAAACCGTATTATTTTAGTTTTATTGTTTAATGATCTGAATTTTTTTCACATTTCACATTTCCATATGTGATAGTAGTGAATAAGTTGATGATATAAACGTTCTAAAGTGCTAAAAATATGGTAGAACTACATAATCTCTGGTCAAAAAATATCGTGTTAATTAATGTCAGTATTCCAAAATTTTGCAAAACTGACATTGACATTAATTGACATTAATTGACATTAATTGACATTAATTGACATTAATTGACATTAATTGACGTTGCATTCCCCCCGATGGATATAAGACTGATGTCTATGTAAGTTAGGAAAATGTCTGTTATTTTACAATGTTGAGACTTGAGTTAATGACAATTTAATTTCGACAACCATGTGAAAACCATAATTTAGGGGAGATTGGATAGTAGCTGTAATTTATTAGTAATGAAGGTGAGACAAGAAAACGAGCATGTTCATTCAGAAGTTGTTATCTCAAAATATTATAGTTTTATTGAGTAATCATGCTGGTGCTGCTAGTTCTCTAGTTGGTCTTCGAAAACTGGTCGTGGTTGGTCTGGTCGTGGTCTTTCTTGGGATGGTCCTAGTAGTGCATTGAAGACTTCTCGCTCCTCCAACTGTGTCACCTTTTCGCTTGCCTCCTTCGCGTCGATCGCATTGACCAGTACCACAAATTTCTCGTTGCTGAAAAACAGTTCTGGTTACATGCAGGGAAGCAACAGTTAGTCATAACGATAGTGATCGGAATTAACTGTAAATAAGGCATGCTGACAATTATCATTCATCTAAAAATTTACCGGGCAGTTAGAAGAGTAGTACAGGAAACAAGAATAGTCAGACTTAGAATAGCAGTCAGCATATTGGTTCATGATCAACAAAACAAGAGAAGTTTTTTAAAGAGGAATTCAAAATGGTCGTATACGAACTGATATCTTGTTACAGAGACCATAAACTTAATACATAGCCAATAATACTGTCTAAACTACGTACCATATTGGGACCTTTCCAGCTCTATAATTATAGAGCGCCACCATCGAGTAGTTCTAAAACTTATAAAATGGGCAGTAAAAAGAAATCGGGGAATGGAGAAATCGTACAGACCTCATGGAAGATTGAATTGTGGAAAGTGCCCAATTGGATAAGAAACATCGTTCATGTTAATTAGAATAAACTGCACAGCACTTTACTCAAAGTGGAACAATTCTTCAACAAATATAGTCTATAATCAATAATGGAACAATAGTTCACCACTAAATGTTAATAACATTTAGTGCCATATGAATATTGTGTAATAACATTATGTTATTACACAATATGGCACAAAAATGGTACAGGAAATTGTTGTGCTGGTTTCATGTTAAGGAAACTGTAGGCTGTAGCTTTAGGTAGGACCCTAACTTAAACTTTTAACTTTTAACTTTCAAGGTTATGACAATATTCTGACTTATACAGCTCTAAAAAACCAAGTGTGCGATGTTTAATATTTTAGAACGTGAAGTTACGAGAATATTCTCACCTCTACTCCATCGTGTATCCCCTTATAACTATTGGTACTAGTGAATAACTCTTTATTAATATTAATAGGGTAACAAGACTGGGCCTGATGAACCGCATGAATTCATCTATTTCTAGCATTAATTCAAATTGTGCCCGACTGTCGGGCATTCTTATTAACATAAGCTAATTCCTGAGCGTATGTCTCTATTGAAAAATTCATGACATCGGTACGGGTGCTCATATTTATGACTTTATGAATTAGGGATTAGGGATCCTCTAAAGTTTGGCAAGTCCGATAGTTTCACTGTATCCTAATATCAATTTTAATAATCGAACCTGATGCTATGTGTAAAATATCATCATACGTTAAGGTCACTTCCAGTAACTGATTGATTTCTACCACCAACCTTTAATATCGTCCTAATTAACTCAATTCAAAATGCATCTCATTTGGTTGGGTCGATTAAGGGGTACCTCTATACCATTCGTTGTCGCTTCCTCTTTGTCTCATTCTTGTCTCATCCTAATAGACAACTTTGAAATTGATGTATAATCATAGCACAGCTTATACTGGACACGTAATTGCATTATGGGTCCCTGTATGGGTCCCTGTAACAGCTGCAACGGGCTACTAGTAATTATCAGTTTAACTATTCATTATTACTGATTGTTTCCTGCTTTAATATTGCTCCCCAGAATCTCCCCTTTTAAACTAGAATACAGCAGAATTGGGTGGACCTATTATTTGTTAATCCTAATTTATACCCTGAAATATTCTGCAGTTTCAGTTCAGTAACATTGACCGCGTCTAGGAATGTATTGATCAATTGAGATCTCCCTCGCGCATGGTGAATACTCAGAAATGTCTCCAAAATTACCCTAAAAGACTTTAAAAGGCAGATTGTCTGGTGCTATAAGTTTGAGCCATATGTGAAAAATAGACGGTATAAACCATTTCACGACTATTACCCATACGTTAGATTTTAAATGTTACCGAAAAATTAGCCATTACAGTTTGATTCGCTGTAAGTTACCTTTCTATAAACGACCCTTGTCCTGTATCACCCTACCCCTCTCTTATCTTATCCCTTGTTCCTTCCTATTTGTTTCATTTCTATCACACTCCTAATCTACTACTTTAACTTTATTCACAAAATTTTTAAGTATCTATAATTACATGCTGATACGTATACTTGTGATCATTTATCCCTGGAACTGTTGGTACCAACCATTGTCAGAACTGTAACTCGTTGTTATTATAATTAGGGCAGTAGGACTTGACCGGATGAATAATCAATATATTTAGTATAATTCCAGATGGGCGATTGTCGGGCATTTTTATAAAGCTAATTCCCGGAAACTCTATACAAGTGACATTGGCAATGGTTGTATAAGTGCTAATTTTATGAATGAGGGAGCATTTAATAATTTAATAATTTAATAATTTACATAATCAAACCTGATTGTAAGACCGTTTATCTGTTCTATTTGATACTTTACATGAGCAGTTCCCTCGGGCCTTCATAAGATTTGTCACAACACAATTGTCACATACGCCTCTCTCCATTCTCAGATGCAAGCTTTCGTCTGTAGTGAAATAGTTGATTCTGGTAATTGATAACGCTAATAGTACTTGACTAGTATTACAAAATACAACTGGTACTTTACTAGCTCAGTATTGATCGTATTCTTGGAAGTTGGAGTAGCCTCATCTTTATGAGGTTCGAGTGTTTAGAAGTATAACTCTGTGTTTCAAACGAAATCGTAGGCATAACTTAATTTAGATATTTCCTTGTTCCTACTTCATGCTATTCATATGATGTCGTAAGGACGTTTATGATGGTACATGCAAAGGTCATGCATGAATATTCATTGTTCATTGCTGAATGTCTCAAGTTGAGTAGTGGAGATAAGATCTCTAGTTTAAAGTGTGTGCTCACTTGAGGGACACAAGCCCAGGATGCATTGCCTAATTTTATCTTCTGAGGTGCCTGCTATCTCTATTATGATATCTGATAGGGTAATGTGTAAATTAGTTAACCTACTTTATTCCAATGAGGCTTGTTTAAATGGGCAGCTTCTTTGTCAAGGACGTGTTATCCCGTCATACAGACGCTAACCACCCATTAGCTGTTACTTTCCTGAGTGGTAAATAACGAGGAAGAACATGGTATCAGGTATGCCGGATGCCTGTATGGCTAACACAAACGATTGTCTTGGAGTTAGAGAGCCGATTTAGTGTAAGCAAGCAACATGTTGTTGCACACAAAGTATGGGGCTTTATTTTGCGTTGCCTCAGTGAGTGGGTACATGTAATAATCAGCTGTAGCCTGTACTTGGTCAGCTCTGGCGAGGGAGCCGAGCATTCATTATTCGATTAAAGATATACTTAAGTTCTAAACAATAGATAGCTAATAAATTCAATATATTATATACAAAGTTTCTGTGTAATCTTTCTCGTTAATTTTAAGTAAAACTGTTGTGATCTCAAATATCAATTGTCTCGACAATTTATTCTAAGCATAAACTGATCTAAGATCTTTACGTATATTGTATGCTGGACCACTATTCTGTAAATAACATAATGATCACCCGTTTGTTTGTCGCGGCCTAAGTTTTTCAGACTAGTATGTTCTAATTACAGTTTCTATCATTAGTTATAATTATATTAGTTATTGTAGGTTTGAATAAACTTCTTTCTTTCATTTTTGACCATCCATTTCATATTGTTTCATTATTAATTGTATCATTATACTATTACGAGGTTTTAATAACATTCTTTCATTTTTGGTATCCCTTTTATATTGGATAGGTTAAATCAAATAAACAATAAAATAAATTGTACACAACTGCTCCGTCCCTTTTTAAAAGTTTAATATTGATCAATTATTCCTCTGCTTTATCTCAATACCGCAAACACAATAAAAAATTCCCAGGAGGTTTTAGAATGTTGATGGACACCCTTAGAGCGTTCCTTCTTGTTTCATTTCACTTAACTGCTCTTTCGCAAGCATCAAGCATAACGTGCAATACTGATGATATCGATGCTCCCCTTGCTTTTCAAGATGGAGATTACCTGATGGCTGGAATCTTCAACATTGGTACTATGAAGGAACGTCAACAGATATCTCCAACAGGAGAGATTGTAAATGTAGAATATTGTTCCAGAGAAGGTTCTTCCTTGTATGGAATTCAAAAGGCTCTGATGCTTCGAGAAGTAGTGGAGAAACACTCCAAGAAGTTTAAGTAAGTTAGAGTAATTGTTGAAAGTTTTGCAAATTCGAATTGGTAGATTTATGTATTTTGCTCCGTGAAAATATGCTAAACTGCTGCGTTATTTTTATATTTGGTATCGTTAATCATGCTGAAGCCGTTGTAACATATCTTCGTTTTACAGAGAGTTGGGTTTTAAAGTTGGGTACATTGTCTACGACTCGTGCAGAAGTTTCGAAGTTACGACCAGGATATCTGTCCTGATATCAACCAATGAAAAGGTGATCGGAGTATCAGGCGTAGATAGCAAGGATTACATGAAACGGTCTGCCGATATAACTGCTTCAATGGGCATTCCTACCTTCATCTACATGTTTAACGATGCTAAGATGATGGACGAGGACCAATATAAGACTCTCTTTTCCATGATTGAGACAGAAGAGACTGAGGCAAAGATCACTATAAACTTCCTTAAAGAAATGGGATACAAGTATGTTGATATTTGGTATCACAAATTCTCCGAAGAAATGGCCTCATACATCTATGAAGACTATGTGCAGAAAGTTGGATGTGGCCATTTTGCTGAAGTCACGTCCACTACTGACATACCGAGAATCCAGGAGGCCTTTAACAAAACCGGTGGTAATCCCTCTGAAGTACAGCTGATCTTAGCAAATAGCATTGCCACCACACAGAAAATATTGACTCACATGATCTCGGAGCTAGGTTTTACTAAGAAGATATACGTTCTTGGTTTTTCCAACGGACGAAAGAAATATTTAGATGACTGGGTGCCGATCGTCCAATCTGACAAATACAGCTCCATTGTAGTACCCCTCGCTCCTCTCTTGAACATAGACTTGGGAATGAGAAGAATCCATCTAACTTCAAGTTGGACCAGGTCCAAGGATAAAATGGATGAACTGTACAAGAATGTCCAACTACGAGACTGCCCCGTGACAGAATCGAATGGTGTCAGTATATTAGCTTGTAAGTGGACTAGCTGGTTACAGTACGTTGTCGGTGGCACTGAAGCAATCCTCCAGTCACTTTATCGTACTTTATATGATGATCAAGATCCTAGCAATTGCCCAACCAAATTAAGAATGAAGGTGTTCAATTCCATTGTAGACGAAAACCAAACAATCGTGGTCACCATGAATGAAGATCTCGACTTAAACGTTACTTTCCAAAACAAGGCTGTCAATATAGACTACGACTTTGGGGTCTACCAAGCTGAAACAGAAAGTTATAATATAGTCGGTAAAATTCATGAGAACAAAATAGAGATAACAAATCCTGGAGCTCTAGAGAAACTTCATTATCAGCAGACTTGCTCCTCGAAATGCAATCCCGGACAGTTCAGACTATATACCGAAGGTATCGCCTACCTGCCTTGTTGTTGGTCATGCAAGCAATGTAGCAATCACTCTATAACTGTTGGATACAATGAGAACAGCTGCAGCAGTTGCGGTCCGGAGGAAACCTCTAACAATAATCGAACTGCATGCCTCACCACCATGCTCCATTACATCACTCCGTCATCTACCATATTTATTTGTGCAGCTCCTGTTATCTGCATGTGTGCACTCGCTGTTATAGTGATATTTATTGTCATTTTCAGGAATGAAGAGAGGCCCATCATAAAGGCTTCTGACCCTGGTTATCTGTACATGTTACTGTTTGGCCTACTCATGGGAATGGGCGCGAGTTTTCTTCCTCTGTTGAAACCAACTCTTTGGACCTGCTCGCTGGAATACATCCTCATCTTGATCTGCACCACCATTTTAACTACCAATCTTCTCTGGAAATGCATAAAAATCTACGGAATATTTGCAGCTGCCAATAGTTTTAGAAAGCCTGTGTGTGAGGGTTTCTTTAAAACGGCGGGGCAAACTTGGCTCAACATTGGAACCTTGGCTGTTGTAGCGGTACTGGTCTTGATTGATTTTCTAACCGGAAACGGTTTGGGCTGGAGATCCTACGAATCCCAAACAACGTATCACTCACAGCGTTACCTGGTATGTCAGGGAAGGAGTGATAAGTCCATGGTGTTTACCATGCTTCCTCTAGCTGTACCTACACTCTTCTTCGTTACCACCCTCGTTCTAGCCTTCAAGATGAGGCGATTCCCCCATAACTTCAGAGAAACCCTGAACATCTTTGGAGCTACCCTTATTGTCATGCTGTGCTGCATCATGTTCCTCAGCGGGTATAACCTTTCTCACCTCTACCTTCGTGCTTTCCTGCGATCCATCGTCGTCTTGGTAACCTGCTTTGCATTCCTCTTCTGCTTGTTTGTTCCTAAGATTATACTGCTTCTCAAAAAGGATCCCGACATTGAGGCTGAAAAAGATGAGATCAAGGCTTCTGTCCGTAAGTTCTCATGCAGAGAACCTCAGAAAACCCGCAGAAAATCAACAATCGATGCTCCACCACTCACACAAATTGATGAATTGTAAAGAGTGGTGCCGGCATGGTGAATACATGAATCACACATAAAGGATGAAGCTGAAAATACGACTAGGAAAGAATAAATCGATACATATACGAATAAGGGAACAGAGACTTTAACTTTTTAAGACTGCTATATTTTCTTTGCTATTAATTTCCGCGAAATTGGACCTTTTTTGTTGCTTATTTGCCGTTTTGTAAAAACTTCTCAACTTTTTCGATTAAAGGCAAATTCGCTGCAATTCTTACTACTTGGTGCAACGAAAATGCTATGGTACATTGGAGCTTTGCTTTCTAAAAGCATCTGGCGTACTGCATCATTCACAGCATTTTGTCATAACTTATACCTAGGTCTTTAAAAAATTTTAAAAAATTTTAAAAAATGCTTTATTTTATTTCATTTCATTTCATTTCTTTATATTATTAGTGTTAATATTTATCTACAAATTGCTGTATAAATTTACCTCTTAAAAAGAACAACGGACTATTATTTTGTCATATTACTTTGCTAATTGGATGTTTTAAGAACATCTTCAATCTTACGTAATATGTTAACGATCTCTGATGTACAGGGGTAAAATATAAAATACACCGCATAAATATAAAAATGACAGTACGAATCAAAATAAAAAATGTCGGAAAAAGTCTGGCAATTCTGATCTCGAATAATACCGTCTAGCTCTGATAGTGAGAAAAAGTAGTATGCTTTTCATGATGATGCCGTTAGGCCGCACAATTCGGTATTCATCTTCTCTTACAATTGGTCATTAATCTGAGCAAACATTTTCAATTTAATGTATCTTTGGGGGTAGCTAGCTACTTAGCTAGAGCGGGCTAGAGTGAGCTGTGTTGCAGTAATGTGGTTTAGTTATACATTAGTAATAACTAATGTGGTTTGTTAAATTAGCTACATGGATAGCCACAACGATTCTTTTCAAGGTGCACACTATAATATTAAGGGTATTATTGTCATGCCGACCACGCCTACAAACAGGGGGTGAATGTTGCGACATTTCCAAACTTCGCAAGAATACCTTCTCCTGTATACCGGCTCATGCCAAGGAGGCTGGAGGAGGCTGGAGGTGGTGTATATAACTCTGAATCTTAGATCTTTTGGGATGTTATATTACCCTAATAAACGCTATATTTTGTATCGAAATCCAGCAACCACTTAATTTGGAGTAAAGTTCGGTGTAAAAATGGACCAGGAATTCGATGTTTTCGCACATCATCAAAAAATCCAATTTTAAACTTTAAATTCGAAAACCATCTCAATTAATCCTTTATCTAAACAGGTATACCTGGAAACTACTCGGAGCCATCTACCAAAACAAACTGGACACATCACTAGACGACACTAATGACACGGACAGTCATCTGAGTACAATCAACAAACTCTACACTAGAGATGAGGAGATAAGACACTATCAAGTAGTGTTGGATTGGTTGGAGAGTAATGCGGCTGAGCTCCTCCCTGACCTGCCAACTAAGGTTCACTGACATGTTTATAAAGTTAATTTTGAATTTTGGTCTGGCAATTTGTCCTTCAGTTTCATAGATATTGTGAACTGTCCGAGTATTTTATTCCAGATCATGTCTGAACTAACCTCTTGTTTCGTCCGGTTTTTTTGAAATCATCAATGTAACTTGAACCTGTGCAGGTTGGTTACTTTTCTGGCAAAGTGTCATGGGAGAACACTTTCCACTCGCTCTGTAATCAGAAGTTAAAGAAAACAGTCACCTCGATGGATCCAGACGCCCCCATGAGAGAAGGTACTACTTATTTTCATGTCTCAATATTAGTGGAGATTATAATATCATTTCTCAATATTTGTGGGGATTCTACTATAATCTCTCCATTAAAAGCTGTCAATTGCTCCACAGCAAAATATTGTATTTTCAGAAATAATTTAAGTTTTGTTCTTTTAATAATTATCATACTCACCCAGGTGCGCCATTGAATGAGATAGATCTAGAAGATCAGGCCCGTCTGGTGAAACATCTCTTCTACTTGGTACGAGCTGGTCAATCTGACGAGGCCCAGAAACTGTGTATAGAGTCAGGGCAGTGTTGGCGCGCAGCGGTCATTGACGGTTGGAGACTCTACAATGATCCTAACTACTCTGACCTCTCTCAGCAACGGTTTTAAATCATACATGACCTATTTTTAGTGAGCCTGTTATATCTCAACAACGGTTTCTTTAATAATGACCCATTTATTAGTGACCCAGGACCGTGCTATATCCTTCTAAAACAAAACACGTATTATTACTTTTTTTACTCTATTAATACTCGTATTAACACTATTTTTCTATTCTATTTAATGATAATGTGTGCGCTTATATAAACATCTGATCACAGGGAGTCAGTGGAGGGTAACACAAACAGAGCACTGTGGAAGAACTGTTGCTGGGAGTTCTGCAACTCTTCAGGGATCTCCACTGAGGAGAGGGCTCTCTATGGAGTCCTCTCTGGTAACCTTCAAGGTAAATACATTTTTAGTGTTTACTTCTGTTTCAGTATTTAGAAAAGAAATAGATGATGTTGTACCAAAAAATGTTGAGTTTGGATGTTTCTACAAAATGTAATTATTTCAGCCGTGTTACCGGAATGCAACAGTTTCCACGATGTCCTCTGGGCACATTTTAAAACTCTGATAGACCAGCATGTTGAGAACGAGCTATGTGACTCCATGTTGCCCCAAACCTTTTGGAAGCAGACTCTGTCTCTTGAAACCATCCTGGACACTATGGGTAAAATATTAGTGTTTAAAATTGAGTGCCGGGGGGAGGGGGGGGGGGAAGACCGCATGCTTTTTCAATATTTTAATATAAAAGTTTAACTTGTAAATATCTACATGATATTGCTGGTTGAGGGTTTGAATCAAGAACGTAGTGAAGCTACATGAACAGTAATATAAAGCAGCTAATTGCATGAAAAGTCAGATTTCTGACGAAACCTCTTCACAGGGAAGATGAAACAGAGCAGTAACCTCTACAGCAGACTACAACTCCAGCTGATAGCCGGAGATCTAGCTGGAGTGCTGAAAACAGCATCAGACCACCTGGAGAGTGCGGGTGTGAGCGAGCGCAGGTTCCTGTCTCACCTCCTCCTGGTGCTGGAAGTGCTACATCCGGGCCAGGCGCCTGATGTGCTGTATGGCTCCCTCTCTAAATACATCCTGGTAATATATCTCTATAGCTTTATAGAGTGTTAACTTGCATCTTACTATATATAAAGCGAGACGATAGTTATCCGTGCCATTTTATTGACACCACGGCATCAACTTTAACGCGAATTTCCGCAAAAACCATAAAATATTTACAACTGAAACTTTTTTGACTGGGTCAAATGCTTTAATGAATTAATGGCCTTCAAATCAGCATAAAAAAATAAAAAATAGGCCAAGAAATAGGAGTTTTAGAGCCCAAAATTTGGTACCCCAAGTGGTGTCAAAAACGCGAATTAAATAGGTAATCATTATTTTAGTCTTTTGAGTCTTGACACCATTTTAGGGTTATACGGGTTCCTGCTAGGCTTAATCTTAACTTATTTTTGAAAATATAGTTGTGCACTAAATAAGAATACTGCTGCTCCACCTTACACATGGGTTACACATGGGTTACACATGAAATTTGATTTAAAAATCAAATTTCACCACTTTTGTAAATTACCAAGGTGTAAAATATTATACAAATATAACACCTTTCTTTTCTTGACAATAAATAGCCATCTGTCACTGTCTAATTTTACTGACATACAATTTTTAGACACCCTCTAAATATACATTTAAAGGAAAATAGGTCATTTCTTAGCTTTACAAATTGCACTCGATCCAACTCTTGCCAATATGAAACTTTTCGGTTGTCTGTTGACAATGATATTAGTTTACCCAACTCTTTTGAGTGAATTGAAGATTTTGAGCACTCCTGACGGTGACACCCATCCTGCACCCTGTGCCTTGACATGCTCTGGAGTTGCAAGATACAACGAATATGGTGACTTTGCATGGGAGAGTGCTGGTAAAAGGGCATACAAACGTACTGACATTGTTGGTTGCGGCTTTGTCAGTACACCAGTTGTTACTTTCACAGTAAGAACACCTAGCATTAGCATTCTATACAACTGTCCATCAATGCGCCCATACGGTAGTTACAGCACAAGATTTGGGGTGATCACAATGGGTCATGCAACACCCAGACAAATTATCAGTATGGAATGTGACTTATATTGGATCGCGACTGGATATAACTGTTGAAACAAGCGATGATTTATACCGACTTTTACTTGTAAATTGTCAGGATTTGAATTTCAGGTGCTAATTGTGTTTTATTTCTTATCTCTGCTTGAATAAGTAATCATTGGGAAAAATCATAACTTTCAAACTCACTTAAAATAAGAGTTGTTCAAAAAAATCTACTTTGAAAATTGTAAAGTAGTCTTCATCACGTAAGAGTAGGTCATCACCATGGTTCGATTACCAATCGCCCTTTATCTGAAAACCAAGCTTAAAACTTTAAAACATTAATCAACATTTGCGCCGTCCAGTAAGTAACTTGGCTCCCTCTCTAAATACATCCTGGTAATATATCTCAATAGCTTTATATAGAGTGTAAACTTGCAATAGATTGAAAGAATGTTTTATAATAATTACCCATATTGTAATATCAACTTACAATAGAATTTTTTTTCTTTTAATCTAGACACTTATTTTACTTCGGAGTATTCCAACAGCCATATTGTTACACAAGTGCAACCAGCCAATTACAGGAAGCCGAAGGATTTGTTTTTAGCCAGTGACGGTTAAGGTAGTGTGTACCATACTTTCTTCGCCCGAGACTTTGCTGCAATGTGCAGCTCCTCATTTAACCCTCACACCCGATTTCTCGAGTATTCGGCTGAGTAGACCGGGGGGCTGCATAGACCACTCACGATCCTTAGCTGAATGTCAACGACACTCACCCCACGACCAGGCAGGCAGTGGGATTTGAACCCGCAATCTCACGATTGCAAAGCTGGCTAACCAACTGCGCTACCTGGCCGTTAAAACTTACTTATACGAACTTCTAAAAATGTTTGTCCAAACGGTGTACACTACATTCTAACAGTAAAAATAAATTCAATCACAGCGTTGTCAAGGATTTTGTAAAGGTACTATTTTGTTGGGTAGGTTCTCCGTTCTCTAAGGTAACACTAACCGGTCACCTTGTCAGTCCCTGCGAGAGGAGGAGTGTCTGGAGGAGGCAGTTTATTACGCGTCCCTTCTCCCACCTGACCTACAAGTTGCGCTGCTCAGCGAGGTCCTGTCTGACGTGGAGGAGGTGCTCCGCGCGCAATGTGTTCAGCACGCCATTGAAAATAATGTTCCGGTATGTGTTTAATAGCCTGCTATCATATATTAACTTTTGTTTCAATAAATATATTAATTATTATGTAGACCAAATTATATATAACAATCACATTGTACATACGTATATGACACGATCAGTAATATTGCTAGAAAACTGTGATCTGAGTATAGTACTTTAACTAGCGCTTTTCAAATGGCTGCTGTCTATGACTTAATAAAATGATCATGATTCTACAATTTTGAATTTAATTAATAATTATTTTATTGCAGATAGAGGAAGTAACAATGCAGATTTACCAGAAAATAATATCCGAGAGCTCCCCCTCCAACAACGATGTGATCAGCGTAGCAAACATCTCGGACACCGACGCTAAGATTGTGTCAGCAGTCTCCTGGCTGCTGCTCACTGAAGGGCAGCGCAGTGCGGCGTTGCGCGAAGCCAACAGGCTTATCAGGCGGTTTTTGGGTGCTAGAAAACATGCGCCCGCTTGCGCAGTTTTTGAAATGCTACCTCCTGATACAATCGAGGTTATTCACAGGTAAAAACAGCCTGTGAAATATATTCTAGGTGGATAAAATCAACCATTTTAAGGTTAACCAAAGTTCAATTAGTGTTCTGCAAAAAGATAGCACATATAAAAAGCATCTCTTGCAGTGTTCATAAGTTGATTAATTAATTAGTTAGTTAATTAGTCTACCCCAGAGAGTGGAGCAAGGAGTACCAGAACACTTCCCTCCCCCCTGATGACACTAACGCAGTGCGAGAGTACTTGTGTTTACAAGCATACCTGGATACTCACCAGGCCTACAGTGATTGGTGCTCCCACTCGGCTAACCGACCCTCTACTCCTCACTGTTAGTTTGAAATTATCACACCTGCACTTAAACTTTATGTTAATCTTGTAGGTCTACTATTTAGTATGATGAAGTAGATGAAGTGACAGTGAAGTTTTTAAAAAGGCTGCACCAAGACGATCAGAGTCTTGGCCGTTTAGACTCCAAGGGTACGATAGGAGTTTTGCACCGCCTCCCCCCAACAGCAACATTTCAGGTAATCCGGACAGGACAATAACATTTAGTGAGCAAGTAGCGCAAGAGGAGAAGAAGAAATCATATGATATGTCTTTACAAAGATGGGAGCAGAACCTTACTGTGCAAACACAGGTAAGATCACAATCCACACTATATAAATAGTAATATTTTATATTATTAAAGAGGATCATACATTTCCAAAATTATATTTGTGATCTTGTATATTCATTATTCTGAACTGACACCCCTTCTCCAGTTGACGCGAGATAAGATGTTGAACGTGTTGCTGTTTATAGACGGGGGCTGGTTGATAGACGAAGTTGAAGGTACTGATAATACACGGATAGAGCAGTTAGAAGCTCTCAGAGGACAGTGCATACCCTCCACTACATTCCTTCTCGGTTAGTTTTGATTGTTTACATTATTTATGTTAAGCACACTTTGGGGGAAGGGAGTGGCCGCGGTAAATTGGGGTTTTACTCGACTACATTCCTTCTCGATAACTCACTAAGTAACATTCTTTAACTTAAATCTAACTTAACTCATACTTAACTTAACTCATACTTAACTTAACTCATACTTAACATAAGTCGTTTAATTAAGTTAGAGTTCTTCTTAGTTAGCTTTACAAATCCTCCGCAAATTCCTTCTCTCAACTATATTCCTTCTCGACACTATACTTAACTTTCTCAGTTAACGTGTTGCGAGAGTCAGGACAAGATCAAGCAGTGGTGGAGCTGTGTGAATATATTGCGAGTGAACAATACCAGCTCTACAAGCTCTTCAATCAGCAGGTATTGTTTGTGCTTAAGTCAATCAAATTCTTAAGTTAGGGTTTAATTGCGCAGGTTATAAAACGCTTGAACTGCTAATTGAATTATATGGAATTTAATGCATTTGTCCAAACACTATAGGCATTTTTAGCTACACGAATTGATAAATGCACTCATTGAACCATTAATATGTTACAAAATTCACCTTTAAATTAACACTTTTATCTTAAATCGGAGCTTTATAACTTTATAATCCTGTTGTCTCCAATTAGCCATAATTAGCCCTAATTAATCACCTCATCCTCAGCAACTAAAAGATCTGCTGGACAAGGTATACGACTCCTCTATCAGATGTGAATGTGATCCTCTCCAATACAACGCTCCTGCCATTGACGAGACTGCTTCTTAGAATGATGAGATAAAAGTTTGGATAAAGGCTCATTGATGTATATTGTATGAGAACAATGAATTTGGGTTGTTTTCCATGGTTTGCTAATTTGTTCGTTAGCGAAATAATAATTTCTAGGGACGTATAATGAATAATGACATAGCCTCCTCCATGATTTTCATGGCGTACGAGTGTTGACGCATGGAGAAAATGATGATTTTAAAATGTGTCTTTAACTAGTCTTTAACTAGTATATATTATAGTGTTCACGTTTAAAGTTACCATTAATGAAGTGGTCTTGTTCATTTTTGCTCGGCCTAAAACAGCAATTCAACATGTTATCGATATATAATACATATTTTTAATTGTATTAAAGTTTTTACGAATTTAATATAAATATTTGACATTCAAGTAAACGCGTTGTGTCTTGTTTCATTCTTGTCATTTTTAATCGACTCTTGATCTTGTATTAACCAAACTTTAAATAACCATTTTTTAGATTAAAGTTTTCTAAAACTTTAAAAAGTAAAACATGAATATAAAAATAATTCACATTATTTTAAAAATGCAATCAAATATATGACGTGTTGTTCATTATATTTCAAAGAAGACAACTGAAATTTAATTCACAATACAAACTTAAGCCAATGAATCTGGGAAAAAGAAAGTCAAGTGGCCAGAATGACCCCCCTCCCCGCTGGCTGCACTGTCCCCGGAAAGGAGCCGTCATGCCTCTCCCTGCCAAGTTCCTACCTCTCAAGACACCTCTAGACTCCACTTTTAATGACTCCGTACCTGAGGAATGCAGGTTCAGTCCTGGAATGTTAGTGGACGGGGTGGATAACTTGGGGTTAATCATAGATCTTACCAAGACGGACCGGTGAGGAATCTTAGATAACAAGATACACTCACAGAACTTCAATCAATCTCTTCAGTTCTACACTTCCATCATATCCATAAATTCATACCCATGAATTCATTTATTCGTTTCTTTTAATAATATAATCATACCTATGAATTCATTTATTTATTCATTTAATCAATCATTTCCACGAATTTATCCAGTATTCATTCCCGTGACTATTTTATCGACTTTCATTTTTAATGAAAAAATTGCTCCCCAGATTTTACGATAAGACTCTGTTTGAGGAGGAGGGAGTAGAACACGTAAAGATAAAATGTGCTGGGTTCGGGTCCGCGCCCAACAAGGAGCAAGTCAATAAGTTCGTCAGTATTTGCAAGATGTTTTGGACTAAAAACCCGCTCAAAGTAATCGGTGTTCACTGTACACATGGTTTCAACAGAACCGGATACATGATAATATCTTACCTGGTCCGAGAACAGAGTGTCAGTGTGGAAGCTGCTTTCCAACTCTTCAAAGCTTCCAGGGAACCTGGTAAGTTTACTTAATTATTTAATTACTTAATTATTTAGTTTACTAATAAACGTTTTGGAAAGTTCTCATGGTAATGGGTATATTAATTGGGTTTAACAGTGGTGTTACGGTGGTGTTCGGACCGCTTTACTAAACTTACTGATACACCTTAAAGTTATCTTTAACTAGCTCTTGATACTGTTAGGAATCTACAAACCAGACTACATTGACGAGTTGGCCACGAGTTTTGGGGAGGGAAGTGAGACCATGTTAACTCCTGATCTTCCTCCCTGGTGCTCTGAATCTGATGATACTGATCCAGATAACCCTGGAGGTACAGTCTTGACATCCGTACTTTTATATTTTAAATACATTCACACGATGAAATTAAGTTTGATTCAACACTTATTTTTAGACTCCCTTATTTAAGAAGTATGGTTGGTGGTGCCTGAATTAACTGTAATCCATCAGAAGGTTCAGATGACAGGAAGAGAAGGCGGTTTGATGACGGGACTGGAGTGAAATTTATGGCGGGAGTATCTGACTCCATTAAACCAGTTCCAGGTCACATCTTGAAGGAGCTTCAACAGAAGTGTTGCCATCTAGCAGGTAATAAAGTCAGACGGTTCATTCATCAGACAAATCTTTAAATTTGAATGTTTGCAGTGTGTTTGATGTTGGATAAAGTAGGATAAACTTAGATTGAAAATTGTTCTTTTATTCAAATTTCTGATTGTTTCTGAATAGACTCAGTGAAGACAGATTCTAATGGAAATAAATAGCTGAATAACGTATCGACATTTCTACGTCGTACTCATATTCTGAAATAGTGTTTTTTTTTTAACTATTTACGGTTGATAACTATTTTACAGTTATATATTTTGTTTGAAATAAATTTCGTCGTCAAATTTTTAATGTGAATATTGATCGTTATAATTGAATTAATACTATTTCAGAATATGAGTATGACGTAGAAATGTCGATACGTTATTCAGCTATTTATTTCCATTAGAATCTGTCTTCACTGAGTCTATTCAGAAACAATCAGAAATTTGAATAAAAGAACTATCAAATCATGAGACTCAAAAACACTACACGAATCCACCAAATTAGATTGAAAAGTAAAGGTAAACTATTTAGGTAAGAGAGGTTTGGGTTTTGCGGGATCACAGCCCGTGTCATTGGACCACCGGAACAGAACTCTTCTGCAGCACATGCCTTACAACGTTAGTTGGAAAGCAGACGGTTTCAGGTTTGTGAAAATAATTAAAACTTGATTCGAAGTATCCAGTGTCTAGTTTAAATAGGTTTGATTTGGAATGAATGAATGGCGAGAAAGAAGGATTTTAGATGGCATTTTAGTTTCATTTATAAATTCCATATTTTCAGGTATTTGATGTTAATATTAGGAGATAATCAGATCTACATGGTGGACAGAGATAACAACATTTTCAAAATACCTGCAATTAAATTCCTCTTCAATCGCGATCTCCACGCGCACATAGCAGACGGTTCCAAACCCCTGACCCACCTAACTGAGACACTTATAGACGGGGAAATGGTGCTGGACAAGGACGGAGCCCATACCATTCCTCGTTTTCTTATCTATGACATTGTCACGCTAAATGGTAAATATGTGGGAGATCAAAATCATGATGTGCGACTAAGAATGATTCAGAAGGAATTGGTAGAGCCGAGGAGGTTGGCTATTTCTAAGAATCTGATTGACAGAAATGCCGAACCGTTCGGTATAAGGAACAAAGACTTCTGGCCGCTGAATGCATCAAAACTGAAATGGCTGCTTGATAAGTTCATGCCCACTTTATCACATGGGAATGATGGAGTAATTTTAACTCCAGTTATGAAACCATACACTGTAGGAACCACTCACGAACTGTTAAAATGGAAACCGGGAAACCTCAACTCAGTCGATTTTTTGTTACATGTAGAGGAAAACAAGCCCAGACCTGGCGAACTGAAAGAAAAAGTTGGGAAACTCTTTGTAGGTGGGTTAGACCAGCCGTACGCGGTTGTGCGTGCCACCAAGAAAATCAGAGACTTACACCGGCGCATTGTGGAGTGCGTGTGGCGAAATAACACGTGGGATGTTATAAGGGTTAGAGAAGATAAATCCTATCCGAACAGTTACCAAACAGCTGTAAATGTAGTGGAGAGCATCAAACACCCCATCACTCAGGATGGTCTCCTCCACTTTATAGATAAGAGTGGGTGGAGGCTGCCTTCAGCTCCTCCTCCTAACATCCCGCCTCCTGTTCTTAATGGGGATCAGAAGTTAATGCCTCCTCCACCTGTGGGGATGCCGACGTTGAAGAAAAAACCGGCTAACATATAGAGGAGTACGGGGCATTGTTAAATCTTATAGTCTGAGTGGGGGTGCAGTTAGTCAGGGTTCTTGGTCTGTTTTGTCGCCCTTTGTCGCTTTGACACATCTTTCAACTCGACAGTAGAATTACTTTTTGAAATCAATTTTTACCCAAATTACTCATAGATGACAGCAAATTGTGCAGCGTTATTTTTAAGACTTACCAAGATTATCTAACATGCTCAATTAACACTGTCACCCAAAAACACTGTAAATTAAGTTGTTTAGACTAAAAATTATTTTTTGAAAATTTAATCTTTAATATCTATCTGGGCCCATTCGAATGCTTGGTAAACCTTGATTAGACTCATTAAGGAGCCACCTCTTTTTTAGTAAAGACAGTCTATTACCTCCTGTTAGATTGTGGAAATTTTGTAATCTGTTGATACACAGTTAAGGATTGTATCACTGAAACTACATAACATACCTCAATCTGTTCCTCCTTGCCCTTGAAGAAGTCCTGTTTGTAACTTTGCAACTTCTATAACTTGAACACAGGGTCAATTATCGAAACATGATGATTTTTCAATTTATGTCATGTGTTATTCATTCAATTTACATGAAGGTTTTATGAAATATGATATTGAATATCAATGCTATTGTATTGTACATTTATGAAATTATATAAGTTTAATGTCTTCTAGACTGTTTTTTCTTGCTTGTAAAGGCAGAAGAGTCAAAGCAAGTGTGATATTCCAGTTCGTATTTTCTGTGCATTTTACAAATACCAAATCATGTATTTTATCATTGTGAACTTTGGGCTTTGTTTTAAACCAGATGATGTTTAACCTTGTATGATTTAGGATTATAGGTTTTCCTAACATCGTTCAGATATGGCAATTCTATTTTACATTTATACTTTATACTAATGCGAATAACTTTCTATAGGTACTGATGATGTTCAGTAAAAGTGCCATACCTCCAAAGTTAAAGTAGTGATGTGAAGTACTGTGGATGTAACCAAGATACTGCGGTTTTTAACCCTGTTGTTGCTTTAGAAGCTTATTAACTACCCCTGACTTTGACGGGAAACCGCCTATTTTCAAAGTATCGAGGCAGTCACTATGTTAGGCGTAAGGCGTCATTGTCTGTAGCGCGCACAACTATTACTAAATCTAAAACATCACATTTTACCACTTGACCCGCGCACGCGCGGGTTTTACTACGAAGCGTGGATGTTGTAAACAATTTCTCTCCAGGACAAGCATGATAACATGGATAAGGACAGATTACGATGATACAACAAATAACAAGCCCCCATTTGAGTACCTTTCAACTTCAATAACGAGCGAACAATTGCACTCCAAGTCCAAGGATTGCAGTACAAGCCCGCCCGACAATCTAGAGTGTGCCCGTTGCGACTGTGAAGGGCTCTGTGGGGACATGTGCGGTCACACTATTGATATGGACGACGCTGACCCTATCTATCTGTGTAATAAGTATTGTTCGTGTTCTTCAGACTGTGCAAATAGGTTGTCAAGAACTGATGTTACGTCTGTTGTGTGTCACCATGGCGACAAGGGATGGTGCCTGAAATCTCGACATGACATCCCTCCTGCGACTTACATCGGCGACTATACCGGGCTTATTATTAGTTCAACTCAAGCGGCAGCTGTTCACTCGCAATCTCTAACCAATTATATCCTCACCATTCGAGAAGAGTCCTGTACAGGGAGCCTGACAACACACATAGACGCTACATCACATGGCTCCCAGCTCAGATTCATGAACCATAGTTGTGAGCCCAATGTGGGCGTGGTTCCTATGAGAGATAACACGGTGTCTCCACGTGCTACATGCTGGACTATTAGGGAGGTAAAGGGGGGAGAAGAGTTGTGTATCAGCTACGGAACAGGACCTCTTGGAGAGATCAAGTGTTTGTGTGAGACTGCCGCGTGTAGAGGCTTCTTACCTCTGGAGTCATTCTAGCCTAGTGTAGAGGCTTCTTACCTCTGCAGTCATTCTAGCCGTATAAGAAGAGTATTGGGAAGAAATTAATCGTATCCTCAGATTTCCAGGAGCAAACAAAGCTTTGTCCTTATCAATATAATATTAAAATGTGTTGAAGCAACCGAATGAATAATGAATCTATTAGCTTCTTTTTGCTTCTATGCCATATTTTTTGGTTAACTAATTTAAAGAATGTATCTTGTGCTGTAGAATATAAACTTGATATTTGGGTGCTATTTACTGTGTTTTACTGACTCCTACACAATTGTTCGTCCTCGCTTAAAATATCTTTATCTAATCTTTACACAATCTGTTTCAATAGATATGGATGGGGAGTTATACGATGAGTTTGGTAACTACATAGGACCTGAGATAGATTCTGAGAGTGATGAGAGCAGTGTGGAAGAGGAGAACCAGGACCAGGAGGAGGAACTAGAGGAAGAAGAGGAACAGAGTCAGGCCATAGTGCTGCATGAGGATAAGCAGTATTACCCCTCCGCTCTGCAAGTCTATGGAGAAGAGGTCAGTTAATAAAACTAACAGATTTACAATTGTAACGGATAAGTTCGCTGATGTGTTGCACCAAGGGTTTTATGTAGGAGTGTAGGTGACATTACATTTCCTGACAGGTAGAAACAATGGTGCAAGAGGAGGACACCCAGCCGCTCACCCAGCCCATAATAGAGCCTATCAAGGAGAAGAAGTTTGTACATTTCGAACAGGACCTCCCAGAAACAGTGAGTATTACCTGGGTTAATTCAGTTTTATTGGGTTCAGTCTTAAATCGGTGATATTCAGTTGTGAGTTACTAAAGTTTAAATTCAAATTGAGGTGGGGTAGGATATCCAGTTCTAATTTTTTATCTGTGTTATTTAAATACTTTATTCGCGTAGGAAGGGTTCTTAAAATCTTTAAGTTGAGATATCCTCATTATTCACCGCTCTTCCAGACATACAGTATAGAGTATCTAGCCGATCTGATGGACGTGCCGGAGTTGATTAGGAATGTGGCGTTTGTTGGACAGCTACATCACGGCAAAACCCTCTTCACTGACATGCTCCTGGAACAAACTCACCCCAACATTAAACCTCCTCGTGAGTCTGTCTGTCTGTCTGTCTGTCTGTCTGTCTGTCTGTCTGTCTGTCTGTCTGTCTGTCTGTCTGTCTGTCTGTCTGTCTGTCTGTCTGTCCTGTCTGTCTGTCGTCTGTCTGTCTGTCTGTCTGTCTGTCCTGTCTGTCCGTCTGTCCTGTCTGTCTGTCTGTCTGTCTGTCTGTCTGTCTACTGTATGTATGTATTATGTATGTATGTATGTATGTATGTATGTATGTATGTATGTATGTATGTATGTATGTATGTATGTATGTATGTAATATGTATGTATGTAATATGTATGTATGTATGTATGTATGTATGTATGATGTATGTATGTTCTATTACTCAACACTATACCTCGCAGCCGCTAAAGATCTCCGCTACACGGACACACTACACACGGAGCAAGAGCGTGGTGTCAGCACCAAGTCCTCACCGCTCACTTTGGCGCTCCCTGACGGCAGAAACAAGACATTCCTTGTTAACCTCCTCGATACTCCCGGTCACGTTAACTTTAGCGACGAGGTGAGAGCTAGTTGCCATAGTAACATTTTCAGTTACCATAGTAACATTTCCAGTTACCATAGTAACATTTCCAGTTACCATAGTAACATTTCCAGTTACCATAGTAACATTTCCAGTTACCATAGTAACATTTCCAGTTACCACTGCATCGGTTCACTTCTAGTAACCATCGTCACAATACTGCTGCTTAACATTCACAATGGTCTTTTGATCTTTCACCTTCCATGAAATGTGCAGGTATTTCGCATAGGGAGGGTCGAACACAGCATTTGTGGAACTACCCTTAAAAATAATATCCCTTCCTCTTTTTCCAAAAGGTTCCATGTCCTAGCTGTGATAGTTGAACCAGCATATTTCCAGGTGGTTGCAGGAATACAGATGTGTGATGGAATAGTACTCTTTGTGGACGCGGCTGAGGGTGTCATGCTCAACACTGAGAGAATACTTAAACACGCTCTACAGCAGAAGATGGCTATCACTGTAGTTATTAACAAGATAGGTAAGAATTAATATTGGGAGCATCATCCCTTCTGATCATTGTAGAAATTCTAAATCCGTTCTGGGGATAGTCAACAGGACATTTAAACATAATATCAAACTGACCGAAAATGAAACGGGACAGTGGCTGATAATGGAGTGTAATACTGTTAACTGTATTCTAACAGACAGGTTAATAATGGAGTTGAAGATCCCACCAGCAGACTGTTACCTAAAATTGAGACAGCTGGTAGACGAGCTCAACGCGCTAGTCACCATGTTCGGTAGCGACCTTGTTCTCTCCCCGCTCCTGGGAAATATTTGTTTCGCTTCCGCTCGATATAGGTACGTTTTTATTCAGCTATGTAAATTCCTCTGTAGAAATGTCAGTTTTTTGGCAAGCCACACTTTTTTTCAAGCGCTCATCAGTTTTAAATTCTACAAATCTGATAGCAAATGTATTTACAGGTTCTGTTTCACACTCCGCTCCTTTGCGGATCTGTATGCGGCTCATTACGGAGGATTCCCTGCTGCTCAGCTTGCAGCTAGACTGTGGGGCGATATCTACTTCAACCAAGAAAAGAGAACTTTCTCCAAAAAAGGAGCTCCAGGCGCAGACAGAACATTTGTAGAGTTTATTTTAGAGCCCCTCTATAAACTGATAGCTCAGACTGTTGGGGATGTGGACACTTCTCTAGCTGACACTTTATCAAACCTGGACATATTCATCAGTAAAACGGAACTGAAAGACAATATTCCGTCCCTTTTGCGGAACGTTTGCAGAAAGTTCTTTGGTCTAGCAACAGGTTTTGTGGACATGATCACGGAACACATTCCATCGCCGGCAGCTAACGGACTAAACAAGGCCAACACGCTGTACACTGGTGACAGGAAGTCTCCGGTGGTAGAGGACATGATCCAGTGTAACCCTGAGGGACCCCTTCTCTGCCAGGTCACCAAGATGTATCCTTCTCAGGATGCCACAGTCTTCCACGCTCTGACCAGGGTTTACAGTGGCACTCTGTACTCAGGCCAGGAGGTGAGAGTGTTGGGTGAGAGCTTCACGTTAGAAGACGAGGAAGACAGCAGAGTGCACACGGTCTCCCGGCTCTGGATACACAATTCTAGGTTATTTAAAACATTTCATCAGAAAGTTGTTAGATATTCTCTTAAGTTGCAGGTTTTAAATATTGAAATTATTGTTATTATTTATATTAAATATAAACGTTGCCAGGTACCAAGTAGAGATAAACCAAGCCTCAGCTGGATCGTGGGTATTAGTGGAGGGTATCGCTAGCAGCATCAGTAAAACTGCCACCCTAGTGAGCCCTGAAGCACAGGGAGTCTACATCCTCCGTCCTCTCAAGTTCAACACTAAAGCTGTGATAAAGATAGCTGTGGAACCCGTCAACCCATCTGAGCTACCAAAAATGCTGGAGGGTCTGAGGAAAGCGAACAAAAGTTATCCGCTACTGCAAACTAAAGTGGAGGAGTCCGGCGAACATGTGGTCCTGGGAACAGGAGAACTTTACATGGATTGTGTGATGCACGACCTGCGCTCCCTCTACAGTGAGATTGAGATAAAGGTGTCGGACCCCGTGGTGTCGTTTTGCGAGACTGTGGTGGAGACGTCATCACTGAAATGTTTTGCTGAGACTCCCAACAGACGCAACAAGATCACCATGATCAGTGAGCCTTTGGAGAAGGGCCTGGCAGAAGATATTGAAGGTAAGACTATCAACAATTATGGCAATGGTTAAGATAATGGGACACCATTATTAATAATCAAAGTTTAAAGTAAAATAAATAATCATGATGAGGTCCTCCTATTATCACGTGACTTGGTTACCATGATAACTATCATGTGACTTGGTATCACCATGGCTACTGTCTATCACCATGGCTTCTTACCAAGTAGAGTTATCAGATCCACACTAAAATGGCTACTGACCAGGTGGTGTGGTTAAGATGGGATGGAGTAAGAAGCGTATCGGAGAGTTCTTCCAGACGAAGTACGAGTGGGACGTATTAGCAGCTAGAAGTATCTGGGCCTTCGGTCCTGACGCTCGAGGACCTAACATTCTAGTGGATGATACGCTTCCTTCAGAGGTAAATTGTCATTATATTTAAGTTTCGGAGCTCCTGAATATATCATAAAGCAGCGATTCTCCAGTAATCTAATTTCGAGTATGTCAATTGTGTCTCATTTACGCAATCCATAATTAACTAACTAGTATCGTTAAGTGGAGAGAAATTCCTTCAAAACTGTGAACTGTGAAGTTTATGTTCAGAAAAATTTATGTTTGAAAATGTACTAGTACCGGTAGTACATTTTGGAGATTTTCCATTTTGCGATCGTTCTCCGGTATTTTGACTTCCAGTACCTCAATTGAAAGTTATAATTTACAGGTAGACAAGTCGCTGTTGGGAACGGTCAAGGACTCAATAGTACAAGGTTTCCAGTGGGGCAGCAGAGAGGGACCCCTTTGTGACGAGCCCATCAGAAACGTAAAGTTCAAGGTAAAACCCCCGACTTGAAACCCCTGTTTGTCCTCTGAAACTAATGTATACTCCCCAAACCCCTGAACCTCATCTGACCCCTATATAACCCCCTATTTACTACCTCAGATGCTGGACGCTGTGGTGGCCCCGGAGATGCAGCACAGAGGAGGTGGTCAGATCATCCCAACTGCTCGGAGAGTTGCGTACAGTGCTCTGCTCATGGCTACTCCCCGTCTCATGGAACCGTACAACTTCGTAGAGGTAAGTTATACCGTAGGAACAGGACGTTTGGGGTAGGTTTTACCGCATAGCAGGAAATGTTTAATTTATAGCCGGTCTTGAACATGTTCCTTCCTGATCTCCGCGCACCTTCAGTAAAACAGTATGAAATTTTTTTGTAAACTGAAAAATTATAATACCGCTACAAAAGTAAACCCGTCTGGTGTGCCAGGTAGTTGCACCAGGAGACTGCGTCTCAGCAGTGTACACTGTGTTGGGAAGAAGGCGTGGTCACGTGACTCAGGACGCCCCTCTCGCTGGAATGCCGCTCTACATCGTTAAAGCCTTTATCCCTGCTATTGATAGTTTCGGATTCGAAACTGATCTCCGGACACACACCCAGGGACAGGTATTTACATTATTACAAGATATATAATACGTAAACATTTCTTTGTACAGTTTGTTTGGTAATTTTCCGAATCCCTCAAGTTAAACTTACAGGCAAATTATCTGTTATTTTCCAAATGTAAAAAAGTAAAAGTTTGAACTTCGATTTTGTCTCCAATCATTCCCAGCTTCCTAAGTTGCCTTACGATTGTAACGATGTAAACCCCCTCTTCAGGCGTTCGCCCTGTCAGTATTTCACCATTGGCAAATCGTACCCGGGGATCCTCTTGACAGGAGCATCGTGATCAGACCCTTGGAGCCCCAGCCCGCTCCACATCTCGCTCGGGAATTCATGTTGAAAACTAGGAGGAGAAAAGGTAAGATATTACTGCTAGAGTACTGAGTGTCGCCCAGTTGAAGAATTTCTAACTTTAGGTTGTCCGTTATCTCTCCCTAATTGTGGTTATATTATATTAGCTCGTATTATTTGCCCATTTTTCTCCTTTTGCACTTGGGGCCCTATGTAATTGCTCGACTTTTCATAAGGTCTCTCGAGGCCTTTTGTTTGGTTATTTGAGTGTATTGGTGTCCCCTGATTGTTATCATCGCTGTACACTTGTCAAGGCATTTCTTGGTTTCTCTAGTCCATTTTTAGAAATTCTATTCAACATTGATATTGTAATAAATTCTGATGATAATAATTGAAAGATTTCAATAAAAAATATGTGCTATTATAATAAAGATTAACAAGTAACTTTTACAGGACTGAGTGAAGATGTGAACATTAACAAGTTCTTCGACGATCCTATGTTGTTGGAGTTAGCTCGACAAGATGTAATGTTCGATTATCCTATGTAGGCACAGCAACCAGACTTTTCTGATCGCCATGGTTACCTGGATACTATTATATGATGATATCATTTAAATATGTGAAGCTTTTAAGTCCAGGACCTTGCTTTTCTTCAGACGTAGAACTTCAGAACTGGGCCTAGAGTCCCTCACGCTCAGTCAATCAGTGCTCACCCTCTGTCAGCTATATATTAGCTGATGTAGCTTTATACAGCAAATAGAGGCTCTCTGCGTAAAGCTAATTAATTATTAATAATAAATACGCTTTATTATTTATAAAATAATTTTATCGGCTCTGCGAGACACCCATATAAATTCATTGGTGTGATCAAGAGATCTTTTTATTAGGATATATTTTCTATTTTTATAGAATATCCACTATCCAGGTTTTAATTGGAAGGGTTTCCTAAACTGGCCTCTATTTCTAGAACAGCCACGTGACCATTTGACTGCTAAATGTTAAGTTACATATTTTATTGTGCCTATAAATTCATTTTATTGTCCTGATGAATTTTATTTATTTTTAAATCAATTTGTATTCTTAGTTATCTTGTTTGGAGGGGGAATTACAGCATGACATAGCGAGTAGCGACCTTGCAACCCAAAATAATCTTACTATATATAAAGCGAGACGATATATATTTATCCGTGCCATTTTACTGACACCACGGCATCAACTTTAATGCGAATTTCCGCAAAAACTGTAAAAGATATACAACTGAAACTTTTTTGACGGGGTCAAATGCTTTAATGGCCTCCAAATCAGCATGAAAAAATAAAAAATAGGCCAAAAAATAGGAGTTTTAGAGCCCAAAATTTGGTACCCTAAGTGGTGTCAAAAAGGCGAATTAAATAGGTGATAATTATTTTAGTCTCTTGAGTCTTTACACAAGGTTATACGGGTTACTACTAGTACTACTAATTGTTACTAATTGCTAATACTACTAATTGCCATGCTAGGTATTTGCTAGTTTTTATAAATCACGGGGGGGATGCAACGTCAATTAATGTCAGTATTCCATAAAAACCCCAAACTGACATTGACATTAATTGACATTAATTGAAATTAATTGACATTAATTGACATTAATTTGTCTTGAAATTTGAGATTATCATTATTCGATAAATATTCAAGATATTCACGTCTATGTAAGTTAGACCGGTTCAAAAAAAAACAAAATGTCCTTGAATAATTATGAGTATGTTCTTATCTGTTGATCCTTAGGTTCAAAGACCACCAACAAAAATTTCAGCTTCAAACTCTTCCATCTTCGGTCCCCACCGGCCACGCCCATATTTTATTGGTTTCTTATACAGGTAAAATATCTAGAATCGGCTTTTTTAGTATGAAGGAGTAATGCTAGCTGTTTAAGATTCGTTATTCAAATATAAATGTCATGAAGGAATTTCGTTTAATGTGGGTTTTAAGTTCTGATGATGTTGAGAACCACGCCCTTGGATGGCCACGCCCATTTAAGAAAATTAAATTTCGGAAAACCGTATTATTTTAGTTTTATTGTTTAATGATCTCAGATCTGCATTTTTTCACATTTCACATTTCCATATGTGATAGTAGTGAATAAATTGATGATATAAACGTTCTAAAGTGCTAAAAATATGGTAGAACTACATAATCTCTGGTCGAAAAATATCGTGTCAATTAATGTCAGTATTCCAAAATTTTGCAAAACTGAAATTGACATTAATTGACATTAATTGACATTAATTGACATTAATTGACATTAATTGACATTAATTGACGTTGCATCCCCCCCCTAAATCACCGGACCGGCTTTGAGAGACAGAAGAATGACAGAATGTTCCAATTTTAGCTAATATGTCTATTTCTCTATCATCTATGAGGAACAACTCTTTTCTACGACAATTTTGTTGTAAAATTATTATTATTATATAATACAATAATTATAACAAAAATAAATCAGTTAATCATAATAATACAATAACAATCAGTTCATACTTAGTTCCTAAAATTTATAAGTTTAATTCGCTGTTAGTATTAGTAAATCTGTAAGATTAAGGACCCCCTTTACTTTTAATGGTTGTTGTTTCTATTCAACTTTTGACGGACAATTTTAGAGAAATCAGATTTAGCGTACAATTTGTATTTTATTAGAAACAAGAAAGGCGATGAACAACAAACAACGATGCTATTAAGTTAAAGTTTTAAAAGATGTCTGACTTAAAAGATAAGTCCTAATTCACGACTCTAAAGCTCTATTTCTGTAGTCCAAACATCAGCCTCCTCATCACACTGATCAACCATGAGGCCAGCCTCAAACATCACGTTCTCTACATCATCACAGCCACCCCATCCAAATTCATCAAAGCAGTCAGCAAACTTCATGTTCATCAAAAGTCCGCATTTAAACTTAAAGTACGATGAAACGTCATTATAGAGCCGACCACTGAACTGGTAAGAATTACTTGACGATGTCAATTCATCGCAGCTCGGCGAGGCCCAGTAGCGCCGCGCATCTCGCCGATCTACTCTACTTCTAGCGTCAGCAAAAAGCAAAATTGAGTGCGCGGCCGGCCCAGTAACGCATCGCGTTAACGGGTGATACTCGTAAAATATTTGTTCCAAATATTAGGACCGTCGACGAGTCCAACTCGGCGCGCGTCTTGTATCACATCGTGACCCCCAGGCCACGGTCGTTTCACTGTATAGTTTCAAGATCAACTTTCAACAATACAGGGGGAGCCGCGCACTCGTGCACGGCGGGTCATACAACGTATGACAACGCGCGTCCTGGTTGGTGATACTCGTAAAATATTTGTTCCAAATATTTCGTCTTACTCTTACTATGGTTGTATTACTACAATGCTAAACTTTATACTATTATGTTATATACTTGTCATTTACCTGAGGACCCCAGGCTATTATGTTCGTTAACATATAAAAATATGTTCCACCATATAAAGATATGTCCGCCATATAAAGATATGTTCCGCCGAATAAAGATTTGGCGGATTAATGACAGGCTGAGCGCGGCCCAGTAAACTTGTCATACGTTGTATGACTCGCCGCGCACGAGAAACCCGTAGAAACTCACTATAGTGAAGCGACAGTGGGGGTCACCGCGTGATACAAGTTATATACTATATAGTTTAGTACTCATTATATATATTACAACACTACACATTTATTAAATTACATTTTATATTGAGTATAAATAATATGTAACGCGATGGAAATATTTTAAGCGGGTAATATTTGTACCACGCGGTGACCCCCACTGTCGCTTCACTATAGAGTTTCTACGATACAGGGGGAGCCGCGCACTCGTGCGCGGCGGGTCATACAACGTATGACAAGGTAATATCCTGTCCAAAACCAGGATACATAACATGGTCATGAAGATTGAAGACGTTGTTGTAACTAGTTGTACGAACAGCATTAATACAATTTAATACTGTATTATTATATTATATTATATATTAAAAATTACATTACCTGAGGACCCTAGGCTATTATGTTCATTCCGAATAGAGATTAGGCGGAATGACAGGCTGAGCGCGGCCCAGTAAAAATTACAAAGCTGGGGGGGGGGGGGGGGGGGGGGGGGGGGGGGGGGGGGGGGGGGGGGGGGGCAACCATATTAAAGTATATTAAAGTATATCCCCGGGTCAAAATTGGAAAAAATCCTACATTTTAATATACTTTAATATACTATACCTACAATTAGAAGATTTATATTCTTCGTTATTAAGATTTACATGATGAACTATATTTTTCACTCAGATTCGCAAGATAAGCCTTTTTTAGGACTAGTACATGAATTTCCATCCAGATTGGTCAAAAATTGGCTGAGCTATGAGCTTAAAAAAATATGCCCATATTTGGGCATACGCTTTTGCCCAAATTCGCTTTTGCACAAATTCGATAAAATTTCAATATTTTTTAATGAGACTAACTCTATGTGAAAGATATAACTCAGTGTTTGTTGAATATAGTGGATACTAAGTAAAAAGACCTCCATGAACAAAATTGGGAAAATTGCACATAATATCTCGGTTCGGAATACTAGCTAAAATGACTTCATTAAAATTGAAATAACTCCATCAGTTTTCAATATTTTTTCAAGAACTTTTTGGAATCGATTAAGAATTGCATTTCAAGCTTATTTTGGGCAACAATTTTTGATGTAGGCCTCCAAGGAGATAGGGATATATTAAAGTATATTGTAGGTATATTAAAGTGGAAAAATCCTACATTTTAATACACTTTAATATGGTTGGCCCCCCCCCCCCCCCCCCAAGCTAAAGCCTCATCACACTTCTACTTCCAATCTTCTACTTTGTGTTTTATACTTTGTAGTTGTTTTATACTCTCATTGACATGTACTCTATTTCTGAACCAGAAATAGTAAAGAAAAAACTCTGGCTACCTAATTTTGTTTCCGTTTTATTTTAAAGTTTAAATTTTGAGTTTCCTTTCGGATAAGTTCAGAATTTATCGTTTTATGTAGACTGATTCTTCCTGTTCTAACGATAAACCGGATCAGACAATACTGTTGTCTGTTATTTCAAAGTGTTTACTACTCTGTTGATAACATTATTCAGACGATAACGCGATTATTCATTCTCATTGCACCTGCAGAATGTGCAAATTGCAATATTCGATTTCAGGTGTAATTGTATCTGTGATAACACTAAATATCACCAATCACTGCTCTGTCATGATCAGAAAACTTTAGTTATTTAGTTATTTTTAAATCTATGACATTATAGTTATACACAATCAGGATCTAAAAACGTTAAAAATATTCATAACGGCCTCAAGATAATGGAGATTAAAAATTTATAGTTAGATGATTTGTCGTGGTAATTACACACGGGGTGTTTTGATATATATTTTATGGTATATATGAAATATGATACCTAGCTTAACGAACACTTAAATTGATTTATATCACCATCTGGGACACAGGAATTTGTAATCGAGATCATGTATAAGAAAGAGATGTGGGATGTGAGCCAGTATAATAGTGTCTGGTTTAGTTTTTGGCCCAAAAATCGGATTATTGCGATTTTTAAAATATAAATTTATATATTTTATATATACTCTTATTTGGGCAATAGCCGGGCACTGTCCGAGGAAGTGTGAGACAGTCTCCTCTCCGTCGCCGCATTTAGGACAAGCACTTGTGTCTGGTTTGCGAATGGTGTGTAGGTGTTTGTTGAGGCCACAATGTCCCGTGATGAGGTGCACTGCAGTTCTGTAATTTTGTCTGTTGTTACTGAATGTAGTGTTGAGATTTTTGATGATGTTGATGTTTTTATGTCCAAGTGTCAGTTTAGTGTGTCTGGGACCATCAGTAATCCATGATTCTTGATTAAGTTTTGTGACTTTGTCGTTGATCAGGCGTTTGATGTAAGATTGTGGAATTGGGCAATTCAAAGTGGATTCACTGGTTGTGCCATTTTTGGCCAGCTCGTCTGCTTTTTCATTACCCCACAATCCGATGTGTGCAGCTATCCATCTGATCTCGAAGGTGTTAGTGGATCCGA